CAGAGACTACGGCGGCGGCGCGTGGGTTGTAAAACAATGGGATTTGCGAAAAGCTTATCTGTTTCTTAAGGAAATATGGGGCAGTCAAGTCGTGTTTGAGGGCTTAATTAATAAAGAAATAAGCTTCCTGGTTTTTATAAAAACAACGGGTGAACTACTTGTTTAATATCTAAAATATTACTTTTATTATATTTTGATACATACACTTTATTATTTTTTAAAATCATATGTAACATTTAGTTTAAATTTCATTTTAGTGTCTTTTATTAAAAACTTAACGGTAATGTCGATGTGTCACATAAGATAATATCATAAAAAAATCGAAAAAAAATTAAAATATCACGTCAACGATGTTATTAATTTTTTAACCACATTGTACTAAATTGAAACTTAAAATAAACGTTATATTTGATATCAAAAAAAATTAAAATTTAGTACTAATACGGAATAAAATTAAAAATTTAGATACTAAATATAGAGTTTACCCGAAAAGAAAACTTAATGTTAACCTGGAGTAGGATGTGCCCACGTACGATTAACCCATTCCTGGATCCTGGAGTTGCGTGTGTCTTGTCGGGCTTAATATTACTTAATTCTGGATTTGCAATACAAATGGTCAAATTACCATAGACTGCGTCAACATATGGTGGTGGGCACCCACTGTTCCCCTTCATAACGCTCTCGTCACGTGACAGAAGTATAATGATTTACATATCATATTTTATTTTAATAAAATATAATAGGCTTAACATTTTTATTTATATAATTATATAAATTATATTTTAATAATAATATTGACATAAATAATATTAAATAAATTATTTTAATGTTTTCAAAATAATAATATTTTTATAATAAATATTATTATTTATTGTACTTGAGATTTATAATAAATAATTTCTAAAAAATTTACCAATCAATAGGAAATGGTTTACATATCAACATCCAAACACTGTAAAATGATTTTCAAAAATTATTTTTCTAAAAATATAATTCATTTTCTATAATTCATTTTATGAAATTTGTTTTCCATTATACAAATGGACCCTAAATTTAGTTTTATCTATGGATAATAACGACCGAATCAAAACAAGTATAAATTTTTATCTATAATTACTTTCTTATGATAAATGGGGTGGGAATGGAAGAAATGTACGGTCGCTGATGGTATAAAGCTATTATTTGTGTCTTTCCCTGCATATAATGTTAATATAACTAAGTTTATTCATTAAATACGTTGATAGAAATAATTTTTCGCGACGTTTGACTCTAACTTATTTTTGTTATTGGTCATTCAATATTTTGATCTTTTATTATAATTTTTATGTTGATACAATCACATATATTCGTATTTATCTTCTGTTCGAACTTTTTACATAGACATTTATTTTCTAAAAAGTGTGTTGCACGTCTTTTAAGAGTCCTTTGAATTAACATAATATATATATTTTTCAAATATCTAAGTTAATTTCAAATAGTTTTAGATTAAATTAAAAAATGTGGATAATGGATTTAAATATCAAATAAATAAAATAATTCATAAATATTCAAACAAAAAGAGAGATTATGCAAATGTTATTTATGGTATCAAGCCTATATAAAGGCGGTTTTGATAGCTTTTGGGTGGGATTAAGAGGAAAAAATTAACCATGCTCACTCATCCACTGAAGAGAAATCTCTTTTATTAAAGAAATAAATAATAACATTTATGTTATCGAACTATTTATTATTTATAAACCAAATGATATTAAACATTTAAATATTCTTTTTCATATTATATTAACATCGATATTAAATAAATTAAATTAAATCAACAAATATTAGTCAAATTAAAGCATCTAACAATTGACTTTATTGGAAGACTTTCAAAAAAATTCATGAATGAGCTATATATTGATAATGATATAATGATAAGTTATACCTTCCATCTTTATATATTTTTATTAATATAAACCTTATTTTTGTTTGAACTAAACTAACTTTTAATATCTTAAAAATAGTTAAATATAATGACTATTAATTTTTAAAGAAAAACATCCGATTTGCTTTTCTCTCAATAAAAATGTTAACTAAAACCTTATATTTTTCCAATTTTTCAAAATATTTTTAAATATTTTATAGTTTTTAAATTTTTTATTGATATAACATATAAAATAATAATCCCATGTTAATATAAAGTACACATTATTATCCAGTTATCACATCAATAAAGTTAAAATTTAATATTTTAGTTGAAATCCAATTAAAAAAAATTAATTTTTAAATATTACAAATTAAATATTATATAAAGTGATATTATATTGAACTGATCAAGGTCGGTCTATGGTGTAGACGTCTAGTCTAGTAAATTCTCAATTCTCTTCGCAATTTTGGTGCATATGGTCACCAGCTTTCTATTCTATTTTTCAAAGCCGAGAGGAATTCCTTTACATTATTATAAAACAAGTGGCTGACACGTAGGTAAAAAATTAGGGAAAGTATCACTTGTAGTAAGCTAATATACCATTAAAGAAATACGTTACCGAAAATATTATTATTTTTTTAATATTTCCATTTAAAAATTACTTAAAATATTATTTTTTACCGAAAATGTTATCATTAGGAGTTTTATCAGATTTGTTAACAAATCCGATAAAGCACGACCTAAAACATTATTTTTTATACATAAAATATTAATATTAGACATTTTATCGAAAATATTAAAAAACATTAATATTTTAAATAAAAATTAATATTTTAAGTAATTTTTATTTAATTTTTTTAAAAAAAATAATAATTCAGATAACATATTTTTTAGACGTATATTAAAACCGTCGTACGACATAACTTCTCAAAAAAAAATTAATACAAAAGCCGAGTTAAACATTGCTAACATGGCAAATACGTCATTCCCCCGCCTCCGTACGTCATTTGATTCCTTTTTTATTTATTATTATAAAAATACGAATTTGATACATTAACAAATATATATTTTATATATTATTTCCTAATTAAAGCTTATCACTTCATTAACAATATTCATTCTTCACTAATTGAAGTTGATCACTTCATTAATGAACCATTCAGACATTTAACAGTTATATAAAAAATAAATATTAAATTTCAATTGGACGGAAAAGAAATTCTTTAAATAAAATAGTTTATCCAATGACACTTATTGGTTTTTTGGATCATACAGACAAAATAAAAATATTAGATCAGTTACAACGTTGTTTAATAAAATACCTTAATTTGAGAACTAAAAAAACATTCAAAAGAAAATTACCTTAATTAACTATATATAAAAACTCTATTAACATAAAAAAAACAACCAATTTAATTTGTTTTTACGTTTTATTCGGGAAATAGTTTTTTTTTCATTTATATTTTTTCAAAATCCTCAGTTGAGTATTTCATTTTTTTAATTAAAATTTTATTTTTAATAAAAAATCAACAACATAATAATAAGAATTTTAAAAAAATGTTACTTCTAAATAATCAGAATTACTTGATAAAATTAAATTTAAGTCATTGTAAGAAACGAACGTTATCCAAATGATCATTAGTAATTAGGGTCGAATTCATGTTATAGGTGGAAGGGGTAACAGTCCCTCAACTTTTGACGATCTATAATATCTCTAAACCATTAGTAGTTTTGAAACCATTTTAACTAAACCCTTATCCCTCTCAAAATACTATAGTATAATTATTTTTTCTATAACACTTTTAAATTTAAAATTAATGAAATTAAGCCTTAATCTTAAATTTGTTTGGTTTAATTACACTGACTTTTGAAATTTAAAATTAATGAAATTAAACCCATCACCTCTTAATTTTTATGGGTTAATTACATTTTAGGAACCTATTTATTTTGAAGTTAAACGATTTACCCCTCTTGTAGTTCAATCCTGACTCTGTCCTGTTAGTAACAATCAAAATACTATAAGCATGAACCAATTGATCTTAGTGATTAAAAGAATGATTGTTATTCTTAGAGGTCTTAGTTTCGAGCTCCAGTGATTGTATGATATTTGAGTGTTTATTGTTAAATGATTGAGAGTCTTGTTATCACTTGTAATCACCCTAGATTAATTAAAAAAATACTATAATAACATATCAATTAGAATAATTTGATCAAAATAAAATTATCTTAAAAGAATAATGAATAATATTATTGTATTTCATCAGATTCAACGAAAATAGATATATTAAAAAAGAATTATGCATCTACTAACTCAAGAGTAATGACAAAATCAATTTTAGAAGTAAAAAACTAAATTTGTAAAAAACAAAATTAAAATTTGACAAGACATGATAAAATACATGATAAAATTTTCTTTAACTTTGTAAGGAAATGAGAAGATTTATTAAACAAATAAAAGTAAAATTTTAGATATATAAAATAGATGAGCAAAACAGAGATTGTTAATAGCTGAATTATCTATAATAATCAATAGATCAACATAGACAGTAGATGAACGTTCATTGACCTTAATCACAGTTAAAAGATTTCTTAAATCTAACCCTTAAAATAGGCACTCCCTCTATATTAGGACTTCTTAAAATAGAAATATAATCACAGTAGAAATAAAAAAATACATATCGTTCATTGACCTTAAAAAATAGGGTTGAAATGAAAATAATTTAACCCTTCTCAAATTTGTAATAAATAAATATTTGAACATTTTCACTATCACGTCAAATAAATTAATAAATAAATGAAAATTTCCACTATGAATGATGTAATATAATTTAGTCTCCTTGGGGTACATGGAACAGTACAATGTAAATATATTGTGAATATAAAATATATATAATTTTACAAGCTTTTGATTTAATGTTTTTATAATATGGTTTTGTCGAGATCTGCCGATAATATGGTATATATATAGGACTAGATACTTCAAATGTTGTGAGACAAAACCTAGTTTGTGAGTCGTCAACAAGAGACAACAAACAAAACAACCTGGTCTTAAAAATATCTTAAAGCATACAGCTTACAAGACAACAATCACCCAGATATGAAGGCTTGGTTGTTGAAATACTCAAATAATTCTGCGTTATTGGTTGAAGAATTTGCTTGGAGGGATTTATTGGTAGAAGAAGAAAGGCCTAAAGAATCGTCGGAGTCCAACTATAACTCCTCCGTGTCTGGCGCAAAGGAGGAAGAGGTGAGCTCCGATGGCGATCGTCAACAAGAAGAACCGCAGAAAGTAAAGAGTTTCAGAGGGGTGAGAAAAAGGCCATGGGGGAAATTCGCGGCTGAGATTAGGGATTCAACGAGGAATGGTGCTAGGGTTTGGCTTGGAACATTCGACAGCGCCGAGGGAGCCGCTTTGGCTTACGATCAAGCGGCGTTTTCGATGAGAGGGGCATTGGCTACTCTCAATTTCCCCATTGAAACAGTCAGGGAATCTCTTCAGGCAATCAAATGTAGATGCGAAGACGACGAGGGTTGCTCGGCGGTTGCGGCTCTCAAGCAGCGATATTCATTGAGGAAAAGATCCAAGAACAAGAAGAGAAAGCAAAACGATGCCGCGGCGGCGGCGAGGCAACAACAGAACTTGTTGGTGTTTGAGGATTTAGGAGCTGATTACTTGGAACAACTGTTGAGTTCATGTGAAACCACAGCTCCTTGGTAAAACAAACAATGGTTTTTTTTACCTCCATTTTCATTTCCCCCCCCCCCCTTTCTTCTGTTAATTTCATTGAATCTTTGCAACCTTTGCTTTGGTGGGGGATTTGATTTGAGGACACTTAAATCTTAATCCATACTTCATTTCATCTCTTGTAAAGTTGAATCTCGTAAATGATGGAAATGTAGAATCATTTCACATTCTATATATAAATTGAATTTCCTCATTTAATGAATATAAACTATATATTAGTGCAAAAATAATTAATTCTATTATTTTTATATTTTTTTATATAAATATGTGATTGATAACTTAACGAATTATGACCAACAGTTTGACGGATTAATAGTTAAATCTAATTGTATAATGAAAAATCTATTATAACAACTCATCATTCAGAGTAATAGAATCACATATAATTTGTAACTATTATATTTATAAAAGAAACTAATTAAATAAAAGTAGAAACTTCAAATCGAGAAAAAAAAAATAAACAATGTCATTCAAGTTTCTTTGTTTGACATGAAAGATAAAATATTATGACGATATAAAGAAAACAATAAAAGTATTATCTTTGATGTATATAAATTTTCAAAATAATATAAAGAAAATAATTGAATATTTTAATTTATTTAAAAATAAATAGTACAGTTTTATAATTAGAAAAAAAGCACAAAATTATATTTGTTTTACACTATTATTTTTATCCATAGTTTTATACTAAAATGTTTCTATTATATATATGGGGAAAGTGGTTCCAATGTCACATAATTAGGGTTTTTAGGAAAATATAATTTAATTAGCAACCATTAATGATTTTAATAATAAACTGTTTACTTTCTAATAAATAAGATATAATTTAAATATTTTTATATATGATTAGGGTTTGGCATTTCTCTTTATTTGTCCGGCTGTTGTCATTTGCCTCCCATCTTATTTTTCTTTTTTTCATCTTCAACTTCTTCAATCGTTTGTTATTTTTGAGTTGTGGATGTCTCTATGAATCTCAAACCATCATACCGTGACATAATTCTTTTCTGTTTTAGCGTCGTCAAATTACTCAACACATCATTCCATATCCTCTAATTAAAAGAGACATGGGAAAACGAAACATGTTAGATTTCGATAGAGGAAGATGACAAGATCAGAACTATTGTGAAAAGAAACGAACAAAGTCACAAAAGTGATTCAAATCCCTTCATTTTTTAGTATTCCTTTCTATAGCTAACAATTAAAAATCTTAAAGGAAGAGAAATAGCTTTTGAAATTCCAACGAAAAATAGAAGAAACCCAGATCCCTCCCACTAGCTCTCTAATTTTCTCATATACTAACTTCTTTATTTTTATGTCAAAGTCATGTTTCAATGGTTTGAATGTGTGTAAGTTTTTTAAGAGCTCGTCATGTGATTAGAGTTATCATCAATTGTTGATAAAAAATTAAACTCTTCGATGTGATCAGATTCTGTTGATGATTATTGAGGTCCGTTGTATTCCAGTGTGTTGTAGTCGATGATCCCTCCCTTAGGCTTTTAAGATCTCGTCATGTGATTAGAGTTATCATCAATTGTTGATAAAAAAAATTAAACTCTTCGATGTGATTAGATTCTGTTGATGATTATTGAGGTCCGTTGTATTCCAACGTGTTGTAGTCGATGATCCCTCCCTTAGGCTTATGTGTAAGAAGATTTGTATAGAGGTAAAATGGTGATTGTTGGGACGACAAGTGAAAGGTCATCGAGATACTTATGAGAGAGAATTTAAGCGGTGGATGGGTAAGATCAACTGATCAAGGTTAGAAGATTTTCATGTAGAGTTTAAGGTTAAAGATGGATTCGAGTTATGACCCAGACCCATCTTTTGGGCTCAGATTTGGAGTATGGGTTGCTAGGTAAGTCTTTTGTTGGATCTAGATGTTTAGATAAATTTGTTTCCAGACTAAATTCTGGGAATTAAACAAGTAGGCTTTAATTCGGACGGAAATCAATATCTGCATTAATAATACAAATAAAATTAGAATACATGTCTATTTAATTTAGAAATGGATGAAAATGAAAATGTGGTATATTAGATCGGGGTTGAAACATATAAAAGTCCGCTTCATCCAGCCCCCGGACTTGGTTATCAAGCAAGCAGAGGCGGAAGAGCAAGTCCCTTGCTTAGGACTCCTTTATTACTTGACGTCACATGACCTCAACATGGCAAATACAGATTGATAGCTAATATTGTCGAGCATCCATCGTATGAAACATGGCACATGACTACACATTGTTCCTCTTCCTATGATCTTACTCGTCGAAGGCAGGCTTGTAATCATTGTTTATATAATATTATTAAAAAAATAATTATAAAATTTTCAATATAAATCCTAAAATATAAGTAAAAAAATTAAAACTTTATGTATTGTCCCGTGCAAATGCCAGCGACGATGCAACAATATTCATAAAATAAAGAAGCCAATGAATACGGAACCGACCTTACAACACATAAATTATTATTAAAATGTAAAAAAGAAAATAAAGAATCTAAGCATCTTCGGCCGTTTTGTTTTTATTCGGTAGGGACGTATTATGTTTTTAAAATAATTTTTGATATTCGAATTATTATAAAATAATATAAATATTCTTAATCATTTGATTGACCTTACGTTTTTTTTTCTCTTTCAATCCAACCTTCATCTCTTAATATCAATGTTTTATTTTCTATTCGGATAAAGTGAAATTCCTAAAATAACCATTTTAAAATTAATTTTTATTTATTTTATCATTTTAATTTTAATTTACACTGATCTTCCTTTATATTATAAATATTTATTTAAATACTCATGTAATAATTATTTTTTTCTTATATAATTGTTTATGTAACCATACATAACATGATAGGTAACTTTCTACAGGGAGATGGTAACTTATTTTTAATAAATTACAGTCATGAAAGTTGCTTTTAAATGAAAAAAATATTATTTATTATTAATATATGAAAAATAATTATTTTCAGTCTCTTATAATTTCACGTGTTTAATCATTTTCTTCATTTAAAATAATTGTCTATAAATTCAAAAAAAAATTTACCATATTCTTTAAAAGAAATTCACCATAAATTCTAAATTAAATAAGAATTTATTTTTCATTTAATTGCATAAAATTCAAAGGTATGATTAATGATTGAATTAGATATTAATATATAAAGGGAAAGTCAACTAACCTTGAGTTTACTTTCCCTCACTTGTCTTTAAACACAAGTGTTAGAACAAAAATTATTGGCAAAGCATGTGTCTCACTTACAGAAACAATTAAACAAAACTAGTGATAAATCCCCCTTCGCTTGGGGATTTATAATTCTTCCTATAACTTATTTAATTAAATATACCAATAATTAATTTAAAATAAAATTAATGAATAATGATTAATTATTTAATTTTTGAAATTGTGATAATAGTATTAATATTTTATTGTCTTAGTTATGAATAATGGAAGATGAGTTGTGAATACTATGTTGATATATAAGTTGACGTTCAAATCAATCACTTTAAGCATATAATTTAAATTTTCAAAAATATATTTTTCTATTAAATGATTGATTATGTTGAAATGGTTATAAACCAAATTAAAGTATCCTAATATTTGTACAACCAAGTTTAGTGCGTGGATTAATAATTTAATTAAACAATTATCCATATGAGTTGAATATTTTATATCCCCTCTTGTCTGGGGTTGAACTATCTTTGTTTGCTCGTTTGTGCTTATCATTATATCAGAAAACTGCTACGAATACTAATACTATGAAGCTGGACAACCTTACTTACCACCGATAATGATATACGATTCATAATTAATTGCGGCCCTAATTTAGAGGTTAAATCATCAGATACTCTGGCTGTCCTGTCCTCGTGTGGGTCATGCATAGGTTCATTACTATATTTCTTTTAATCTTAAAAATGAAAAGTATTAGGAAATTTAGAATGCAATCCAACTTGGAATATTATAATAAATATAGAATGTTTAAGCACTAACGTTTGTGAATAAAATCCATCGATATTCATTGTACGTGGTATAATGTAAACGCTACAGGTAATATTAATTATAGCATGCAATCCCCACAAGGCTACAATGATTAGTTTTAATACAACATAACAGCCTACGTATCACGAATCAAGATTCCTCTGCTCATACCACTTTCTGCTCCGCTCCCATCTGTTTACCATGTGATTTAACGATTAGACAACCCTAACACCTCAACTTTACTAATTAAAGCAAAGATTAGTGTCAACATGACACGTGAATTATATATATTATGCACGGAAATTTACGTGGAAGAATTGACCAAAAATATTAATGCTTAAGATAAGTTGAATAATATCCAAATGTAAAGATGAACAACAATCTAGGGTCATTCCTGAATCACCTCATGTCGATGGGTTATTGGATCAATTGGGCACGTCTGTACTTCAACATTTTGATGCTAGATCCCATTGGTTCCTCGGCCCATTTAAATTTTAATGTTTGACCCAAAGTCCACAAAGTGGGCTGGCTAGATAATTAATCCCAGCACTTCATCTCTAACTTTTGTTTATTCGACTCCAAATTCCAAGTCCAAACAATATTAGATGGACTGAAGCTAAACCCCATACCCGCTTCTTCCAAAGGTTGATGATTTGATACTTGTTGGGTTTTGATATGTCTTTATCATTCCTTTTTAATTTAAACAAAAGATTATAGTCGATGAAAAATTGATTGTTGGTTAGTGTTGATAGACTCTATCTTTATGAGGGGACAGAATGTAGGGTCGTGATGTCTACATGTATACTTGTAGGTTAGTCGGATATATTTAGGTGACATTGGATTTGATTCTGATAAATTATGTTAGTTTATCTTAAATTGCGTCAACTAGTCATGACTTTAACCGGAAATCTTTTATGATATTTCGATATATGTGAAATACGAGAATAGTGTGTACAAATGACCTGTAACAGGGTACAACGGTGTTATAATCATATTGGAGAGAAATATTCAACCATTTGGTGTTCTTTATCGACCCTTGTGGGACTTTCTGGTACCAAGTGCTTCTTGGACTTTCCGGGAAGCTGGAACGGCAGGCAAAGCGAAGCAGTTTATTGTTTTTGAATTGACGGCTTTAGTGGCAATATTGCGTTGTTGTTTTCCATGATCATGTTCCCCACTACCTTGGACGGCGACGCATGAAATATAACAGCACTGTTGTTACAAATAAACAAATCAAACGCCGGTTGTTTCAGAAAGAAAAAAAAAAGTATTAAAAATGAAAGGAAGAATGGGAGATACTAAATTTTGATCGTTGGTTTATTGATTTGAAGGTGAAGAAGTTGATCTTTAAACCATGGCCATCGACAATGGACTTTGCATCCTAAATATTTTAATTTCAGTGCACATGGCCGCCCCCAAACTAATCATCGCTCGTGCGGGGGTGGGCGAAAAGTTATCAGTTTTCAAGCTTCCTATGGTTTTTAGGAAATTTAAAATTAGACCACCATTCATGGCACTACGCCTCTCTTTTTTATACAATGTAATCAATATTTTCAAAATTAAACTGAAGATTTAATTAATCGAGCATTCCTTTTTTATTTATTTATTTAACTATTTTTTAATTTATTAAATTAAAACATACAGATGAAATTATTGTTAGTAGACTTAATGTAGGATAGATGGTTGGGACATTTTAATTTATCATTTAGAAATAAGAAAATAATTAAGTAAATATTTAAAATTTTTATTTATTTATTTATTTATTTAAATATGAAAAATATTAAATTAAAATTTACATTCTATCCTTAAAATTGTTTAAATAATTATTTATATTTATTTTCATAAATGATTATAAATTAGAAGTTTATATTTAAATTTTAATAATTAAACAAATAGAAATAATTTTAAATTGTATTTTTAAATTTTAAATAATTAAATACATATAATTTTAAACTACTTATAATATAATCCATATGATTTTTAAAATAAACTAATATTGATTTTACAAAATATATAAATAATTATTCAATTATCTTAAATTAAAATAAAAAATTATTTATTTTTAAATTAAAATAAGTTAAATAATACTTTTGGTATTTATTAAATTAATTCCTAATCTGATTTAATGATTAAATAATTTAATATTTTGGGAAATGTACTAAGTTCGATTCATATATCTAACAATTTTCTTTCATTTTATAGTGACAACTTAATATAAGTTAAATATATACATTGGCGTTTAGAAACCAATGCCCTAGCGTAGATGGTTGAGCACCTTTCCTCTCCCCCAACAGACCCTGCTTTGAGTCATCTCATGCTCCTCTTTGGGAATTAAATCTTGGTTTTTGTATCTAATAAAAGTTCATTAAATAATAATATAAATAATAATTTCAAAATGCCACATTAGTTATGACGTTAAGTTTTTAACGGAAGATACTAAATTGAAACAAAAACTAAATGTTAGGTATGATTTTAAAATAATTGAAAGTTAAGGTATTAAATCGGATCAAAGGTTAAAGTTTAGGTCTAATGACGTATTTTACCCAAAAAAGAAGGGAATTTGTTTATTAGAATAGAAAATTGAAGTCAACAAGCCCAGCCTATTTGACGAGCCCATCGCCAACCACACGTGTCCGTGAGAGATAGGTAATCAGGCTAAGAAGTCAATTAATGAGTCCATAATGATGCTTCCTTGTCCCTTTAAAATTATTTTATTTGATATTTTCGTCACATTTTTTAAATTTTAAATTTTTATTATTTTAAATTTATTATTATTTAAAATATTTTTTTATATTTTTAACTAAATAAATTTTATAATTTAGTTATTTAAAATATTTAAAAGAATTATAATTAACTTTAATCATTCAAAAATACTTTAAAATTTAGTAAAGAATTATTTTAATAGGGCAAAAAATATTTTCTTTTTTAAAATGAAAATTCATTAGTACGTAAAATTTATCATGAAAGGAAAATGTCATGTAATTTCCATTGTTATATTAATTCTGATAGATAAGTCTTAGACTTGAAAGGCAAATTACACTTTTCAAAGATAGGTATTATATCCACGCGTCTTTGACCATTAAATATTTAGTATCTTTGTCTAAAAAGAATATTTTTAAATAAATATTTTTTCAAAATATAAAAAATATTATTTCAATGAAAACAAATTAATAATTTTATTTTAAATTATTTTTTTTAAAAAAATAGAAACTAAAAAAAACCATTTTCAGTCGAAAAAATACTTGTAAATGCTTTTGAAAAATAGTAGTAGTAGTAAACATAGAAAAGTGAAAGGATGGACTTGAAATACGGGATCATGAATCACTGGCATAACGTATCCGAATGAAGTGGAGGAATATACCATTGAGCGTATGGAATATTTCGGAACTTTTTGTGGCCGAGCTTCTTATAAATACTCTTTCGCACTCTCACTTCTCTGCACCTTTATACTTCTCCCAAATCTCGCTTCTTCAACCAACCGACGGTATCTCTCTCTCTCCATGATTCTGCACTTGTTGTTTCTGTTCTTTTATCTCATTCCTAACGTTGTTTGTATTAGATTCTACAATTAATCAGATGATTCATGCATGCAAATGGGATTGATTGCTTTTTGTTAATGACGACAACAAATAGCTTTACGTACGCCTTATTTCTTTTTTCCTTCGTCGGGTTCTCTTTGTTAAACGGTATCAATACCTTAGTTTACTCCAATCTTAAAGAAAAGAAAATAGTGTTGAGATATCTTTCGATTACGGAACCGGTCAAATCTAAAAAATCAAATATTAGATTTAGTATCGTCTTTTGTGGGGTTGTCTATTTATTCTTAGTGGATCTCGGAGAACGTTTCGAATGAGTTCGAAGATAATGTAGGATATAGATCACTTAATTCTCAGCCTTAGACACCATTGATGATCCTATTAGAAGTTTGGTGATGGTAGAGAGTGAATTACAGAGATGATGAAACTTGAAGGATTGAATGGCAACATGATATTCGAAGTTTGGCGATCCTAGACATTCTCTAGGACTCACTAAGGGTAGGAGATTAGCCCCTAACTTGCCCTTTCCATGAATCTAATAGCTTTCAATTGTCCACACAATTGAAAGATTACCTAACTCCTACTTGAAACAAAAATTTAATATTTTTGAAAGCTGAAACTGAAATTCAATTATTAGCCTTGTTTCCGGATCTTTCTGCGAGTTTGTTTCGAAAACATGGAATCAAATTAATTTAATGTTAGTTTTACAATATAATATGTTATTGGATTTTTTTAATATGTTAGTTGAAAAAGGATTTCCAAGAGGTAAAAGAATAGAAATTTCCTACTGTTGAGCATAAGTTTTGTTCCCACATGTCTTTGTTTCTAACTTATCCAGAATGGTGTTGACTTTCCATTCATTATTGCAAGTTTTGGGAGGAAACGTTTAGTTCAATTTAATGTCCTTTGCAGGTCTCCCTTGTTAGTTTAGATGGGGGAGAGCTATGAGTACATAATTATAGGGGCGGTTGTTGCGTGAATATAACTTGTTTGTGCATTTTTGACTTCCTGGAATTCATCTTTGTCCTTTTCACTACTTAATTTCTATTACAAACACTAGGCTGATTAACCTCTGGAGAATCTAAAAGCTGGTTTAACAAGTTGCAGCAGTAGGACCAATAGGGTTTTTCTTGACTTGATGAAACTGTGTTCACAGTTCACCAACCGTTGAGAAAAAACAACCATGCATACCTAATAGCATAATCGTGCCGCGTCGTGATTAAATTTGTTAAGAAAAGGTGCTCTCAATTTGTATTATTCTTTTGTCTATGCGAGACTTTATATAATATTTGAAAATTGTAAGTTGTTACCAATTATTGATGGACGTGTGAACCTAATGCTGGGATGTGGGGTAATACACTTGGCTAAAAAAAGTCAGAAAAGAGCAAAGTCACAGATTGAAATGATATTTCATGGTTTATATATAAGTATTCTCTTTGAGTTGGTGATGTAACCTGTGCCTATGTATATCTTTGCAGATTAGGAAATAGCAGATAAAGAAGTTTGTGAGTGAGTGAGGTAACTATGGCTAGAGAGCAATTACAGGTGCTTAACGCTCTTGATGTAGCCAAAACACAATGGTATCATTTCACTGCCATTATCATTGCTGGGATGGGCTTCTTCACCGATGCATATGATCTCTTCTGCATATCTCTCGTCACCAAATTGCTTGGCCGCATATACTATCATGTTGATGGTGCAGAGAAGCCTGGAACTTTGCCTCCAAATGTATCCGCTGCGGTTAATGGTGTGGCTTTCTGTGGGACACTAGCGGGCCAACTCTTCTTTGGTTGGCTTGGTGACAAGCTAGGCCGAAAGAAGGTTTATGGTATGACTCTAATGCTCATGGTCATATGCTCTGTCGCATCGGGTCTCTCTTTTGGTCATACCCCTAAATCTGTCATGGCAACCCTTTGCTTCTTCCGGTTTTGGCTTGGCTTTGGCATTGGTGGTGACTATCCACTTTCTGCCACCATCATGTCTGAGTATGCTAACAAGAAGACTCGCGGAGCTTTCATTGCTGCAGTGTTCGCTATGCAAGGTTTCGGAATTTTAACAGGTGGTATTTTTGCAATTATATTATCCTCTGCATTCAAGACCATGTTTGAAGCTCCACCGTATGAGGTTGATGCACTTCGCTCCACGGTTTCGCAAGCAGACTACGTTTGGCGTATTATTTTGATGGTTGGATCGCTCCCTGCTGCTCTTACTTACTACTGGAGGATGAAGATGCCTGAAACTGCCCGTTACACCGCACTTGTTGCTAAGAATGCAAAGCAGGCTGCATCTGATATGTCAAAGGTCCTACAGATGGACATCGAGGCCGAACCACAAAAGATTGTGCAAATAGAAAAGCAGAAATCCGGATTCGGTTTGTTTTCTAAGGAGTTTGCTAAACGCCATGGACTTCACCTGCTTGGAACAACATCCACTTGGTTCTTGCTTGACATTGCATTCTACAGCCAAAACTTGTTCCAAAAGGATATCTTTAGCGCGATTGGGTGGATCCCTTCAGCAAAGTCCATGAATGCTATTGAAGAAGTTTTCAGAATTGCAAGGGCACAAACACTAATTGCTCTTTGCAGCACTGTACCAGGCTACTGGTTCACGGTGGCTTTTATTGACAAGATAGGGAGATTTGCCATCCAATTAATGGGATTTTTCTTCATGACAGTGTTTATGTTTGCACTGGCTATTCCGTATGACCACTGGACGCACAAGGACAACCGAATCGGCTTTGTTGTTATGTACTCGTTGACCTTTTTCTTTGCGAATTTCGGACCAAATGCCACAACATTCGTAGTTCCAGCCGAGATTTTCCCAGCAAGGTTGAGGTCCACTTGCCACGGAATCTCAGCAGCCTCGGGAAAGCTCGGAGCTATCGTTGGTGCATTTGGATTCTTGTATTTGGCTCAGAATAAGGATAAATCCAAGGCAGATGCAGGGTACCCTGCAGGCATTGGGGTAAAGAATTCACTCATTGTATTAGGCGTAGTCAATGCCTTGGGATTCCTCTTCACATTCTTGGTGCCAGAATCTAAAGGAAAATCCCTAGAAGAGATGTCAGGTGAGAATGAAGATCATGAACCACAAGGAGAGGCAGAGCTGTAGTCATCTACCCACCTCGGGGCAGGTCCACTTGCCTAAGACATGGACTCATAAACCAGTTGTATACTACACAGACTACGATTGTTCCTCTTGTTAAGGGGATTAATTTGCTCATTTTCAAATAGTAAAAACCTCCAAAGTAGTCATATCTATGTGAAAAAAAATCATTTAAACTTCTAAAATAATAATTTCATTTTATATCCCTTAAGTTAAAATATGAAAGGTATTTTTGCTATCAACTTTGTTTGTACTAATAATTTAGAACATAAATATTAAAATTCTTTACTAACTTTCATCTTAATAATTACTTTATGAAAATTGAATCAAATTAAAAATTTATATGTATAACTATACAAAATCAAAATTTATATATAACATTACACATTTAATGAAAATAATGGTATAATTTTAATTAAACAATATTTCATTTGAGTTAAACAGAATCACTGTTGTCTTCTTGGCGTGCCCCGGTCCCCCTCCCCCTTGTTGTATTTTGGGTTGAATTTTGTACGTTGCTTCCTTGCATGTGAATAGCCATAAATCAGTAAACAATTTTGCCAACGCTGTATGATAATTTAATTTCTAGCAATTAAAGTAAAACCATCGCTATTATCTGTCGTATCTTCATAAGGTAAGGAATAGGTTGTTGATTATTTATTTATTTTGTTTCTTTTAATTAAAAATGGAAAAGCATTATGAAATTTAAACTGCAATGCTATCAATATTCATAATAGCGTACTGCAAACCCTATAACTATTCTTCGTTATAGTCTACTGCAGAGCTTCATGGTTACAACTAATAATGTAGATTAATTTTGATAAAACATAACCAGCCTATTAGTGGTGCATGCAAGGGTTCTCTCGTCACCAAATTGGTTGGCCGCATATACTATCATGCAGAGAAGCCTGGAACCCTGCCTCCCAATGTATCCGGTTTTGGCTTGGCTTGGCTTTGGCATCGGTGGTGTTTATCCACTTCCAGCCACCATCATGTCTGAGTATGCTAACAAGAAGACTCGCGGAATTTTCATTGTTGCAGTGTTCGACATGCAAGGTTTGGGAATTTTAGCAATGATATTATCCTCCGCATTTAAGATCATGTTTGCAGCTTCACCGTATGAGGTTGATGCAGTTCGCTCCACAGTTCCGCAAGCAAATTATGTTTGGCGTATTATTTTGATGGTTGGAGCACTTGTTGCTAAGAATGCACAGCAGGCTACATCTGTCATGTCAGGTCCTGCAGATGGACATCGAGGTTGAGCCACTAGAGTTCGTGTAAATAGAAGAGCAGAAATCTGGATTTGGTTTGTTTTCTAACAAGTTTGCTACACTTGCTTAGAACAACATCCACTTTGTTCTTGCTTGACATTGCATTCTACAGCTTGCTTTCGGTACATGACGATAGCTCTGCCTCTCATTGTGGTTTAGCATCTTCATTCTCACCTGACATCTCTTCTAAGGATTCTTCTTTAGATTCTGGAACCAAGAAGGTGAAGAGGATACAATTAGTGAATTCTTTACCCCAATGCCTGCGGGGTATCCTGCATCTGCCTTGGATTTATCCTTATGCTGTGCAATAGGGATCAAGAGAAAAACTTTCACTCTTTATTTTCTCTTTTCTCTTGTACACATATGTTTGAGCTTATTGTATATCTTTCAATTGTTTTTCTTGTGAGTTTAATTCTTGTAAATACCTATCTTTGTGAGGTTTTCTTGTTTATATCTTTCAAATTTTGTAAAAGGGGAGTGATTCTAATTTAGCAATTGAAAAACTAAGGGTTTTGTAAAGGTTACTCTTGAGCCTAGAAAAGAAAGAACAAATTAGTGAATTTGTTAGAAAATCCTTAGTGTGGATCTATGGTAGCGAATGTAGACTTGGTTTAGAAGTCGAACCACTATAAATCCTTGTGCAAATTGTTTATCTCTTTTTACTCCATACCCAATTTTTTCGAAAGATCAATTCACCTTCTCTTGACACTTTTTTGATTGATCAATCTTAACAACAGGCTTATGAGTTTCATCAATCTTAACAATAGGCTTACTCATAATGGTTATAACATAAAAAATATATAATTATTATAAAATTATTAAATATTATTTAAAATAAAATACATATAAAATATATTACTTATGAAAAGATAAATATAAATGACAATATCAAATTTCAAATTTAAAAATAACATTTTAGATATAATTAAATAACTTGTATTTTTTATCTATAAATATAAAGTTACAAATGAAAAAATTAAATTAAAACAACTACGAAATATAGAAGTTAATTGTGAAAGCTGAAAACAAGATGATGGCGCAAGGCTTAGTTATTACTTTGTTAGTTTTGATATTCTTGTCATCCATATTATATATAGGAGATGCACAATCAAAATGTGATGCTACTGCTAGATGTAATTGTTCACCATCTTGTCATGATTCCATCTATTAAACCATAATAAATGGAACTTGTATTGAAATTTGTATTTGTCAATGTTTGTCATCACCTCTGCCTATCAAATTAATCTACTATAATCGCCGTCACTGTTACCAATGATCAAATCAAACCCACACTCACAATTACCACCATCAATGACTAAGTCAAAATCACAACCACTATTAACAGTGTCTAAATCAAATTCATCTACACAAGCACCACCATTAACGACAATGGTTAGTCCAATTCCATTGACTCCTTTGAGCCAATGTGAAGTACCAATATATGCTCCATATTTAGTGGAAAGAGGTAAGTTGTGTTGGTGTTCAATGGAGAGTTATGGCAATGAATGCTTTGAAAGATTTGAAAGGATTTAGGAAATATGATATTTTGGGATTGAGTTTGGTAGAGCCACAAAAGATTTGCCATCCAATTAGTGGGATTTTTCTTCATGACAGTCTTTATGTTTGCATTGGCTATCCCGTACGACCACTGGACACATAGGAACAACCGAATCGATCGGATTTGTAATTATGCACTAGTTGACTTTTTTCTTCGCGAATTTCGGACCAAATGTCACAACATTCGTCGTACCGGCCGAGATATTCCCAGCTAGGTTGAGGTCAACTTGCCACAGTATCTCTGTAGCCGCAGGAAAGTTAGGTGCCATTGCTGGTGCATTTGGGTTCTTGTATTTGACTCAGAATAAGGATAAATCCAAGGCAGATGCAGGTAATATGGGTGAAGAATTCACTTATTGTATTAGGCGTAGTCAATGCCTTGGGGTTCCTCTTCACGTTCTTGGTGTCAGAAAGGAAAATCCTTAGAAGAGATGTCAGGCGAGAACGAAGATAATGAACCACAAGGAGAGGCAGAGATGTCATCATCTTCCGACCGCCGGACAGTTTAGATATCAGATTTCAGTTCACTGTTTTTCCTTTACATATACAACTGTTTCTAATAACTCCCAATGTTTCAGTTTCTGTACCTTTAATAATTTTCAAAGTAGTTTGTTAATGCCAACGAAGTTTACTGAAACAAACGGTAGAATTAATGTGTAATTTTTAGCCCAGAGCTTCATATCAGCTTCACAAGATTCTGGTTATTCAAGGATCACACGTACAAATCTCTGCCTGAGAATAAGAGATACCCGACTGAGTCCTCTAAACGCCATGGCTGGTACTGGTAGAGAGAGTTTAAGAAACTAAGCAGAAAGGGAAACGAAGGGCAGCTATTCTCTGGTTTAAAAGCAAGTCGGAGGCAGGGGTAGATGAAGGTGGAACTTATGTTATTAAACCATCCAAAGTGGGGCTGTGCGTAGGATTAACGCTTGCATGCTTCGTTGTGTTGACTACACTGAGACTCACAAAAGGAGAATCTTAGATAATTCCATTCCACCATAAACATATGAAAGTTATTGTTACATTAATATTATTCTATTAATATAACATAAAAATATAATATTTTTTAAAAATAAACAACTTAGGAGAAGAATAAATGTTAAATTGATATAATTTTTAAATATGAAAATAAAATTTATTAAATGGTTTAAAAATAGGATCAAATACTATTACCATATACATATGTAAATAGCTTTTCATGGATACATAAAAGATGAAATTCTTAGTAAAATAGTTGTTTTCTGTGTACAATTTTATGCCTTGAAGCCTTAATCTAAGTCGAGGGGTGAACGTCCGCTGTCTACTAGGCCAAATAACAAATTTCCATTAAATATGAACTCTTGAATTGTTGGCTTTTAGATCAGCAATTTAATGACAACAATATTATCCAATCAGACTAAATTTCCAGTTTTATCAAATGTGAGGATCATATTCTGATAAATCAAAGTAGAGAGACTAATTTTTCAATTTTCATAAAGTTAAGGGATTGAACCTGTAGTAACCCACGTTACATATTAAAATAATGAACTTTATCTTGGCATGTTGAAACGAGAAAGCTCCCCTCTGTCGATTGCTCCGCTCTGACTTTCCCCGATTCTCGCGCCTTGAGTATCTAATCCCCCTCCGCCTCGTTTCGCTCGAAATGAATTTACTGGTAACGTTTTCAAACCTCTCTTCTTCAAAACCTAGTGTGAAATCTTCCTTTTCATTTTGTTTTGAAATCATATAAAACAGGATAAGTTGAAGATGCCAAAGAAGGAACCTGATGAAGTCAAACCACCCAAAGTCGAAGTTCCAGTTTACTGGCTCGAGACATCTGATTCCGTCAGTCGCCGTTACGAATTTGAACCCCACGGCTACCTCACCGTGAGTGTTATCTTTCTAACTCTAATTTGTCATTCAGACAATTTTACAAATAATTGGTCTGCGAATTTAAGCTCTTTACTTTCGATGTTTTTTTTCTTTTTTGGGTAGTTCATTAACGTTTTTCCCCTGCTGCAGGTGAAGGTGGTTAATGATTCAAGACCAATATACCATAGGGTGGCTGAATCGTTCCTGAACAAGTTTTTCCCCGCGGGATATCCTTATAGGTAAAATTCTTTACTTGTACTTGTTTACTTGCTGAAGTTATGAGATTGGTACCAGCCTGAGTGCACATAATTATTATGTTTTTGGTGTTTGGTTTGAGCAGTGTGAATGAGGGTTACCTTAGATACACACAATTCCGTGCATTGCAACACTTGACCAGTGCAGCATTATCAGTTTTATCAACTCAGGTCTCCTTCTCATACCTTCAAGGATTCTGCATATGCTCATAAAAGTAGATTATAGATGTTGCCTAAATTCTTAAACAATCAAAATGTGAAGATGTTTAGTTGATATTTTGGAATGTGACTTCCAGCATAATATGAGGTAATTTCCTTGCATTTCTCACTCCTTTGCAGTCACTTTTATTTGCTGCAGGCTTACGACCTACTCCTGCTCAGGCAACTGCTGTCAGCTGGGTAAACTTTAACTTTTAGTTGAAGAATTCTTTCTGATCATGTGGTCCGATCTGTACTTCTCAGTTAGAAGCTTTCCATTTGTTTTATCGATGAGCAGATATTGAAGGATGGAATGCAGCATGTTGGAAAGCTCATTTGTAGTAATTTGGGTGCAAGAATGGACTCGGAACCAAAACGTTGGAGAATTTTGGGTTTGTATTCTTATTTATCCTTTCGCTGAATGTCAACCACTCTTTCACTTGATGCTACCCTTGTCATATTGAATGTTCGAATGAGTCAATATCTAATATTGCAGCTGATGTGCTCTACGATTTGGGTACTGGTTTGGAAGTTCTTTCACCTTTATGTCCTCACCTTTTTCTTGAAGTAGCAGGGCTCGGTAATTTTGCAAAGGTATAATCTTTGTGATTAATTTGCTTTCCTGAAGGCCACATCCTTTACTTTTGCTTCAAAATGTTGGGTTTACTCTAAGAAGAGCATTATACAACTGCATGCCAAATACTACTATACTTTGTTGAACTTTACTTCTCTATGTTAAGGGAATGGCAGTGGTTGCCGCGAGGGCAACTAGATTACCAATATATTCTTCATTTGCCAAAGAAGGGAATCTTAGCGACATATTTGCGAAAGGAGAGGCCATATCGACACTTTTCAATGTTGTTGGAATGGGAGTTGGGATTCAGTTGGCATCTACTGTTTGTTCATCAATGCAAGGGAAGGTATTAAGATTGTAATGACTCTGATTTCAGTCATTTATTTTAGTTATGTTATTGATGAAAGAGAATGGCACAGCAACATGTGGACATGCTAATCCTTTGTGATTTTTATCATCTCAATTGCATTTCACTTTACATCGCGTATGTCATGTCCTGGCAATTGAGATTGCTGATAATAATAAGGAATTGCAGATGATTGTTGGGCCTCTTCTTTCCATTGTACATGTGTTGAGTGTCGTTGAAGAAATGCGAGCTGTTCCGGTCAATTCATTGAATCCTCAGAGGACTGCCATGATTGTGGCCGATTTCCTAAAGGTTTGTTTTATTTGTACGGTTTGGACCCAGAATTTTATATGCATGCCGAGGTTTTTCATCCGTCTGATTTTCCAATTGAACTCAACTCAGACTGGAAAGGTATCTAGCCCTGCTGATCTCAGATATCGGGAAGATCTCCTATTTCATGGACGGCTAATCGAAGATGCTGGAAATGTGAAAGTAGGGAGGGCTCTGCACAAAGTTGTAAAGCCTTCGAAGCTTAAGGAATGGAAAGAAATATTTCCTGAAGAGAAGTTTGTTTTGAGTCCTGGAAATAAATGGACCGACATGTTGTTAGAACATAATGCTACAGGAGAAGATGCAGTAAGAGGTTGGCTGGTTGCTGCGTATGCCGCGAGCATGGGGAAGTCCTTCCACGAGCCAAGTGCCAGCGTCTTGCAAGATGCTTACGACAAGATGAACATTGTTTTCACTCCATTCCTTTGTGAGCTACAGGCTAAAGGTTGGCATACCGATCGCTTTCTTGATGGAACGGGAAGCCGTTTTGCATTTTGATATTTCATCTTTCTCACATTCCTCTACAACAAGAGAATATATATTCATTTGATGAAACTAAGCTGGAAAAGTGATCCCTAGCCATTTTTTGCATTTTCAGACGTAGTATTGCATTTGTTTTAGAGGTGGTGATATGTTTGTAATTTGCATGCAGGTTATATTTTCTCTCACTAACTTGGATTTGAATTTATGAAATGAAAAACTCATGGAAAAACTATCCCTAAAACTCACTTGAATTTGGTTAATTCCATACAATATTGATAATAATTGTATCTAATTAATTACAAATGGCTCATCAAATTATTATTCTTTTCTCTCTATAATTCAATTAGCATACATTCTCAATAAAATGGTCGGTTTTAAAATGTTTCATAAAATTAAATTATTTAAAATGATTATGATTAAAATTAAAAAAAAATACTATAAAAAAGTCAATAGAAACCCTTCTAATGAGACGAAAGAATTATTTTCATTTAATTCATTATATTTTAATCCAAATTGAATTTATTTCAGAAGTTATTAAGACAACACTTATGCTCTCTTTATAATTCTTTTGTACAATTGATTATTATTTCATCTATTGGTGTGGCAAAATAAAATGTCCTCGAAATGAGATTGAGGAGTTCTTCCATCCCAACGTTCACATGTTTAAAACAGAAATCAAAAGTCAAAATTAACAACCGATTGACTTACAAAAACATGATCGATCATACTTTGTTTGTCATGACAATTCACACAGTGGCCATGAAACAACATATTACCTTACATTAGCCGAATAGAAGACGGGCCAGCTATAGCGGCTACTTTCTGAGCTTGCTGAGTTTCACTCCGGTACAGCTCTTTCATTGCCTTTTTCATTTCCTTTTTAACAGCAAGCTGAATACATAATTCATCCCATTCAGCACTAAACATGCACGATGATGTGAATGATTAAACTAAAACATCATTTCAAAGCAATTAACGCATTCTCAAGCAAGGGTTAAACGAGTTCAAACACACGTGCAAACGGATACGATACCTTTCGTTCTTTCTTTTCCTCCTTTGTCTCCTGACCATGTTGCTTTCTCTTAATCTGCTCGGTTTTTATGCTACCCGTCATCTTGACTTTTTCCGTAGCAGTCTTTCTGCTATTAGGTAAAAAGTCTACCGGGAGCTTCTCCTTTCCCCTGAGGGATATAACCTGATTTTTGGCACTCAGAGCTGCGGAAACAGTTTCAGCCAACTTCCTTTTCCTAGCAACTGCTGGTGCTTCAATTTTTCCAGGGTGATTATCAAGAGTTGAATATGTCGAAACTATACTCTCACAATCAAATTGTTCCGATTCATCACTGCTCTCCTGAACAACTATCATTTTTTCATCTTCACTTTCATTTTCATACCTTTTGGCATATTCAGCACAACGACGCATGATATCAGCAGCAGGAGCTTTATTCTCATCATCCTTGTCGTTTTCATGCAGAACATTTTTTAGCTTGTCTGCCAGTAACTCTTCTTCTTCTTCAGCCATGTAACCCTCACAATCATCGTCATCAGAGCCGTATTCTTGAAGTTCAAGCTGCAATAAACAGAGAATTCGATAAAATCATCATTGCTACTGTGATTGTGAAGTTCAATCAAAAGCAAGCAAGCAGAAGGTAAAATCTTCGGGCAAAATTCTAATTCGGCGAACTACACTAACAAATTAGACACAACTTCAATTTCTCTTAATAAAGTTCCTAAATCAAAAGGATATCTTCAATTCCAATAAGTTCTAAACATAAAAATTACTAACAAAGAAAAACAAGATAGATTGAAGTTTGCTCTAAAATGGCTCACAATGTCGAACTGCTCATCCAAAAGACGCCGGGCACGTGGCTTTTCTTCCATTTGGTAACTCCTTGCCTCGTTTTCAATCTCTTGATTGTCGGATTCCGGACCAGCATTCTTGACACATTCATCAATAAACCCCGATTCATCAACAAAATTCAACTTCTTATCACTCTCATGGGCCTCTCCTTCTTCAACGGTATTCGCTCTAACAACAAAATACTCCTCCAAATCCTCGACATCAGATCCAAATCGTGACAAATCGCTATCATCAAGCAATGCAGCCACTTCAGGATCTATTACTTTTTTCATCCTAGCATTTAGTGTATTTGAAGCAACACTATAAATTGATTTTTCATTATAATTCCCTTTTGAATTTGATATATGCACCCTTGAAGCATCATAGGCCTAAGCATAACACACAAAAGCATTAATCAAACATAAATTAATCAAAGATTACACCAGATTGTTTGAAGAAAATGAATAACTTGAACCCACGTTAACATCGCGAGGAAGTTGATCCGGCTTGAACTTAGGGTTATGATAGAAAGCAGAACCACCACCAGTATTTCTAATCTCTCAAATGAAGCAAATAATTGTAACCATCATCTGGAAACCCTAGCTCCAAGATTTCCTTACGCACATTCTCCGGCAATGCGCCTTTATCTTCCGCCGCCGCACTAGAGGAGCTTCCCAACACTCTACCATAACCATCGCCGTCGTCGTCAATATCATCAGGAGCATCAGCGAATTTAGAGTCCACGTTAGCGTATTCACCGTCGTTGTAGCAATTGTTATCTTCGTCAAAAGTGTCAAAGGAAACAGGGTTTGTGTCAACTCGGACGAAGACTCGGTCATTACCAGGTGAGTCACTGTAAAATGGATCGGAGGAGTCTCGGACGAGTAGTTGGAACGTCGCCGATTTCTTTTTGTCGATGAATTTCTTCTTGCCCATTTCTAGGTATTGTTCAGATACTGCAAAATTGAACGTGAGAATTGAGATGATAAACTTATCAGCGCACTGTAAACCCTAAATCTGTAGCAGATTTTTCATCATAAACCCACAATGTTGAATGAGCTCGTAATTCCACTTCTGGTTCAATTTGCCATTAGGGACAAAGCGTGCCAAGCCCATGACTGAACGACAATGGTAAGCCCACATAAAAAAAGAATATAATTGATTTAGTTTAAAATTCATTCAAAAAAATTATGCAATAAAAAATTAAATAAAATTGAAAATTGGATCAATTTTTTTTACTAAAAAATTGGATCGAAATATAAAAGTATACAATAAAACAAACTTTAATTTTAATCAGTAATTTATGGGTAAAACTGTCGAGTGGAATATTTTTATTTATAATATCAAAATCCAAACATGAAATATTGTTCAAGGAATATAACTATTCATTGTATGATATAAATGTTCATCCCACCGTATCCCATTATTCAATAGCACAAGCCTGAGAACCACATTGAAGAAAAGCACTCGGATTTCGCTTCAGCTCAGAGGAGCATAGCATTAAAGCTTCATTCTCTCGAAGGCGGCCGAGGTAATCGGAATCACGCCAGTTGGTAAAACTAAAGCATCCACCAGTACATCATTTGGGGTGATCGGTATTACTTCTTCATCCATTATCTGCACGGAATAAGACAGTGCGACAAAGAGTGGCTGCCTCCAATCCTTTTCCTTGGCAAGCTCTCTGTACTTCTTCAAGAAAGTATCATAATATCCTCCTCCACGGCCTAACCGTTTTCCAGATCTGTCGAAAGCAAGCCCAGGCAGAATGAACAAATCGACCGGATCGTTTGCGTGCATCACATCTTCGCGTTCGTTTCCTTCGGCATCAACTGAAGCAGGCTCCAAAATGTTCATGGAATTCGCAACTAAATCATCCATGTGCGAGATATTGAACATCCTCATGTTACTATTCTTGTCCTCGACACGAGGGACGTAAAGTTTTATTGCAGTCTGAGGCATACTACCATCCGGGGCCGAGGAAGAATTATGCAGAATTTGATATAACAATTTAGAGGTATCAACTTCTCGTAAAACACTGCAGCTTATATAGGCGCATAATCTCTTACTTGATTTGAACCATGGAGCTTCCAAAACTTTACTCTGGACTATATCATCTTCTCGGGTTCGGAGAGAGGGATCCATCGCCTTAAGGGCTTGACGAACTTTGGTGCGGAGGAATCGCTTTTGCTTGAATACGGATTCAAGATTGTCTGGTTCTTGATTGTTGTTGGACATTGCTACAATAGAAGCTGGCTGGCAGGCCACTGGTAAAGTTGCATACTCAGAAAACTAAAGTTGACAAAGATTAACATAATTTAATTTCTCCAATATATTCTTAAAAAACAAAAGAAAAAAGTCACCGATTTCAGAACTTTACCAAAAATATAATTTGCCTAAATAGTCTCAAAAATATAATTTACCACTAATTTAAAATAAAATAAATTCTCTCGAGGATTGAGTATGCAGATGCAGTAAAGATCTCTTGATGATTCCCGAACTAAGACTAAAAATGCCGAATACATATGTTATTTGTCTTATATTACAAGATTGATCTAACAAATTTCAGTAGCAAAAGAAAGCTTACCGTGGCGGTCGATGTGGGTTAATTTCAGTAGCTGTCGGCAAAGCCGTGGGCGGAGCAACTGAGCAAGCAAACCAAGGGCAGTGGAGGCGTGGCCGTGGGCGTGGGCGGAGGCGGAGCAGGGAAGGGAGGCTGGGACTCTGAGGGGCAGTCGGGCTGAGTGAGTGGGCTGACCGCTATTTCTTCTCCAATTTTTCTTCTTTTCCTAGTTAGGTTTAGCTTTCGCTTTTATAGTAGTATTTTCCCAAAAAAAAGAAAAAGAGTGATGAAAGTATAATTTACATTTTCTTTTAATGGTATTGGATTTAGGTCAATTTTATAAGCTTAATTATTTAATAAATAACAATGACATTTGAGTTGGGTAATCTAATAAAATGAGTTTTGGATAATGAATTAGTAGACTAATATATTTAAAATATATAAAATTCTAATTATATAATAAAAATATGTATGAGGTGATATATATATATATATAATTTAACAATTTTGTGTTTGATTCTTAATAATAATTTCTAATTGTTTTATTTTAAAATTATATGAAAATATATTTAAAAATATAATAATATTTATTATATCTATAAAGGAGAAATTTATTTATTTTTATTACGGTAACTCAATCAAAGAATAATATTGCATACAAATGATTTGATTTGTAATTTTAAAATCAAAGACCCAATTTAACTATTGACCTCAACCAACTGAAAATCGAAATCAAACTCCATGTTTCATTTTCTATTCTCCATTTTGCGAGAGGTAGCTGGAACGGTGGCTTCGGTTTTGTATCTATAAAAGGCCTTCTTGCACTTGTTCATGTAATTATGAATGGCAATAAGGATCTTGCCGGCTTCATTTATATAATACGAGTTCCTGATACTCTGTTTCTCTCCCCCTTTCTTTTCCTTCTCCTGCAACATCACCCGGTACGATCCTTCGTCCTCCGGTGCGAACTCTTCTTTGTATGTTACTTCCCATCCCACACCATCGTCACACCAGCCTGACCATTTTAAACAAAACATATATTCGAGTCAAACTGTAACCACGTGAATTCCATCTCTATGTATTGTTACCTGGTCTGCGGTGATTTCGATTTCTGCTGTTGCGTATGCTTTGAGATTAACTTCTGTTGCTTCGTTCTCCGGGGAGAACTCACCGTCGTTGATTCTTTTGAGTCCTACGTATTCGACTGGAAGGTTTTCCGGGGATATGAATCTATTTATTTTTTTCCGAGTAAATGTGATGACAATGGGAAATTAAGTATGATTTAAGCAAGAGAATAATGGACATTTCTCTTACTTGAGAAGAGTCTCTGTAACTTTCCCTGGTCGGGCAAAAATGGTCTTGGAATTCGCTTTATGAGTTGTCAGACGTGAAGAAACTGAATGGGATACATGGTACCATAAGGGAACGTTTACTATTATCTATCATTGTTTTGCAGAAATGATCAGTAATCAACCAGTCAATGTATATGCATATTGATTGTATCTTACCGTTCCATGGATGATCTCTGGATGTTCTTCGAGCATCGTCCACCATTTTCGATAAGCGGAACGTAGTTCCCTTGTGTGAAGTCCATGGAAGTCCTTCCAGTCGATTATCTAAACGATGGAGTCAGCTCCACCGGGTTCAAAGTTGAGGTCTTTGATACATTTCTCAACGTATTGAACTCTCCATCTTAAAAACTTTTCGCAATTCTCTTCTGAACCAAATATTTTATTTTGGTTGTCTTTCAAATCACCATACACATTCTAAAACAGAGGGCGACCTTCCTTGTCTATGGTTCTGAGGTAACTCACTTTTTCGAAACCGGGGCCTATGTTTTCTTCAATTACTTCATCGGCTTTGAATTCCCTCCGCCATATCAACGTCTTCTTAAGCTTCTCGAACGAGTTATGGACGCTGTAGTTTTCCGATTTCAAGAATTTCAATAACACCATATCGGTCCCAGTGTGGGATTTGCTTGGCATCAAAGGTACACCCCAGAGTTTGATCTCTTTCGGCTCACCCATCGCGTCTAGGGCTTCATTTTGGCAGGCGTGAGAGTCGTCGGGTTTCCCCAGGAGATAATTCCCTCAATTCTACTCCTCAATTCAATCAAAGCCTTATTCCCTTGAATGGCTCCCTCAAATCTACAATTCAATCAAAGCGTTCTTCGCTTTCTTTTCATCTTCATGATCAGGTAGAGTTCCCTCATAGTTTTCTTCGCCGTTAGCCTCATCGGCTCGAAGGGGCAACTCGTTTTTTATTTGATCGGCGTCCTGAATCTTGCCACTGTGCTCCCCCATGACTTTTGTTATTACAGATTTCGGTCTTTCTTCCGTTGAAAGAAATCAAAGAATTTTTTTTCAGACAAAGAAGAAGTTAAAGATTGAATGAAGAGATATGAACGAAAAAAAAAATGCTTCAATCGTTGTTTATCTGGTTAGCTCCAAATTTATGACAACAGGTTTCAAATATGCTTGATTATAGGCAAAAGCAGGTTTCTTTATTTATTTTTAACCAGTTAAAATGAGTCAATTGCATCATATGTCCTCAAAATATGACTCTCATTTTAAATTAATTCATAAACTCTTAAATATTAAAATTTCATTCCAAAAGTGAGACTATCATTCTAATTTAGTCTTCGAACTTTTGAACATTTTAATTTCATCCCCAAACTATGACTTTCATTCTAAATTAGTCCCCAAATTCAAAACATTCTAATTTCATCTCAAACTATACACATCTCTTATTAATAAAATTGTTGGACTAAGTTATATTATAATATATTTGAAGACAAAAAAACAAACTTTAAGTTAAACTATGACTGAAACTAATTACATAATTGGATGAATTTAAGGATAAAATTAAAATATTCAAAAGTTTGAAGACTAATTTAAAAAAACAAAGTTTAGGGATAAAATTAGAATATTTAAAAGTTTAAGAACTAATTTAAGATGACATTCATAGTTTGAAGATTAAATTAGAATCTTAAAAAATTTAAGGACCAATTTAAAATGAGTTATAATTCGATCTGTTAGAAATGGATGCTTGCATCATCAAATGAACAATTTTGCAAATCCTCGAAAATATATTTATATAAATAAAGCAGTACTTTTAAGAAGGGTTGCTAAACTCCTAGACCTAGCTGGATTGATTACTAATATAATTGTGTTGGCTACAATGGAAAGAGGTACAAAAGCCTTCAGTCACTAACTTACTGCCCAAGCATTTTTGTTCAGATACAAAAACATCAAAGATTTAACTGCGTAGCATTTGTTGTGCAAAGCAATCACACAGTATATACAAGTATTTTCAACATTGTACAAATAATTAACAAGCCCTGCAACCTGCATTTTCCTTCATGCCTCCCGGTATTTCGTCAAGTCAAACGTCAATGTTCTCGAGCAGCTGTAAAAACATGTCAGAGGATATTTATTTTATTTAGGATTGGTAAACTAGACTGATGCACATGCAATTTCACTGGATTATGGAAACAAGGTTCGGTGTCAAGTGCTTTACCCCATATCTGAATCCCGATAAACCCCGACCAAAGCCTCAGCCTTGTCGTAAAAGCTATCTTTAAGTGATATCACGATACTTTGGAAACCACTGCTGCCTTCAGTGTCCTGGCTCGCCCTTGCACCATCACATGATTTCGAACGGATGAATCCTGCTACTTTTGCAACGTTTAGGTTATCCAATGCAGCATCCACTTCATCCAAAATGAAAAAGGGTGAAGGCCGGTAGCTGAAACACGCATGCATGAAGAGAACCAATATTAGCTCATAATACAAATGGAAAGCCAATTCTCTCTGATCACAAATGACTTAGCCCATCTTTCCAAGGTAGTCCATCAGACCATCTTATAATAAGTTGAATCCACCGCAGCTCTGGCAACAGATTCAACCGACAGTTGAAAATGGAAAGAATGAATAATCTAAATCTCTCAGGTGTACCTGTGGATGGAGAAGAGAAGTGCAAGTGCTGCAACAGTTTTTTCTCCACCAGATAGTTGTTCCATATCCCTGAAACGCTTTGTTGGTGGCATAGCTGTGTATTTGATACCATGTAAAAAAGGATCATCCTCGTTTTCTAAGTTCAAATATGCTGTCCCACCCAATGGATGTGTACCACTCTTTGTTAGCTGTTTGTAGATCCTATCGATATTGCTAGAAATGTGGTTGAAAGCTTCCATGAACAACTCATATCTGCATAATCATCAAGTAAAGTCAATCAGGAAAAAACATTTGAGTAGACTACGGGTAGTTTCCCACGCCATTTGTCACTTATGCATATTAGTGATATTGCAGACCAAACAGCTTTCGAAAACCAATACAAGATAATCACAATCAAGAAATCAGCAATTCAGCAAAAAGTGCCATCTTATAACATGACATCTAGGCACCAAGTCTCAACGGGTTTAATCATTTTAATCACCATTTATCTCTATTAATTTTAATTTCACTATGTTACTAAGATCAGAGTTGCAACACATTAATGGTTTGGTACCTCCTCTGCTTAACTGAATTGTAAGCATCAGCTACTTGCTTCTCCTCTTTTCTGGCTAATTCAAATTCTTCAGTTACATCTCTTTCCTTCTCTTGCAGAGTCTTGTATTGATCAAGAGCCTTCAAATTAGGAGCAGTTCTTTCAATTTCCGACACTAGAGCATCAATTTTTTGTTTAAAGTCTGCCTCAATCTTGTCCCTGTCAGAAGGCCTTCGATCCTGCAGAAGAGATCGATTTAACTGACTAAAATCGTACTCCTTCCCATTTGAAGATTCAGTTTCCATTGGATCTGCAAGGATAGGAAGCTCAATGTGCTCTAAGTCACACTTTTCAATAATGTCCGCCTTCCGTTCATCCAGTTGATTAATCTGAGTCTCCTGTAAAATCACGAAACACATGTACAGGGCAATTTAATCAACATCCTACATATCCAAATATTAGATCTGATTGTAAAGAGAAAAAATAAAAGAAAGATCTTTGGACCTTAGAATTTATTTGGCGATTAAGTTTGGATATGGATGTTGTGGCTTCAGAAGCCTGCTTCTTCCATTTTTGAATTTCTTTTTCACACTCTTCTGACTTAGATTTCCACTCTACAAAAACAGAAAAAGAGAGACAAATAAACTGACATCAAATTATACATAATGATCAGAAGCAGGGTTCTGCAGATATTAAGGGAGACGAGCAGTATAAATGAATCAAAAGAAAGAAGCAATGACAAATAATTTCAGAATTTTAAATGGACAAAAAACACATGATAAGAGCTATTTGATACGAGCCAGCTATCATATACCATGTTGAATGTCACCAACTTCACTTAATCATTCTAATAAGCTCAGAAGTTATATTAGAAAACTATAAGAAATGCGGTTATAAAGAATCAAGTTAGGAAGTCTTAAGAAGTCATTTGCCACTCTTAGTTCAATGTTAATGACTTAATTCAGTTTTCATAAGCCTCTCACCTGCTGAGTAGGATAATCTATTAGCATACATCATGCATGTCAGTCTACACTGCACTGCTGAAACTAAAGTTTTCTATTTGTATTTACGGCTGCAATTGCTATTGAATAGCATGCCAGAGATGAGTCACTTAAAAACATGGCACATCATGATCTACAGAAGTAAATTATTAGATCCAAGTGTCAATTTACAGAAACATATTGATTAAGATCTGTGACCAAAAAAGCTCATTTCCTTGCAAGAACAATTGAAAGAATTTATAAACTCGACACAATATAAAAATGCACAATGAATGTATAGTTAAAACCATACCTTTCATTTCTTCCTTCCATCGGTGGATGTCTTCAGAAGCCTTTTCTGTTGCCAGCTTAACCTCAGCCTCTTTTTTGTGAACCACTTTTAAATCATTTTCCAAGGAACTGATAGAAGATTCCAGCTTCTTAATTCTTGATTCTACATCTCGCTTACGCTCATACTCCAACCTAGAAGTAAGAAAGAAGAGTACAAATCAACCAGCTGCTGCTATGCAATAGACAATAAAAAAGGTTGAATCAGCAAAACAGAAAAATCCAACTCCTACTTCCATTAGATTCTAGTCAGTCTCAAAAACAGAGCAAGATGTATCGTAGTAATCACAGGCACAAAACATTCACATAATTCAGCAGTATGCCCACCAAAACGAAATGCCCTGATCCAATTTAAGAACTGCCTGCATTTGTTACTTACCCAATGCCACCGTGCAACTTTTTACCAAAATGTTTCACCTTTCTTTAGGTTCACTTCTAATCAATTTCAGCATAATCAGTATTACAGTAAAAATAGCTCATTTCCATTCATAATTTTAGTCTCTTTATAAGGTATTAAAGGGAGCATTTTAGAGATCACGCATTCAAAGTTCATCCAAAACGTTGATATAACAAAGTGGTTTCAAACATTTAAACATGGTAAAAGGATTTGTATGCCAATGGTGTGACGCATCTACTACACTATTCTTTTGGTAAAAATGTATTGTTTTCTCCCTTTACTATCATTGTTTTACATCTAAACTTAATTTTTGGAGGTCTGCAGTGTTACCACTTTCATGCACAGTGGCATAACAGTGGATCACATAAGTAATTGGCACCAAATGAAACTAAAATAAATTCATATAGAGGTCTGCAGTATTACCACTTCCATGCTACAAGACTTTTTACATCTAACAGACATGCATACCCTCTAATGGCCGTTATGTAATGAAGAATGTAAAAAAAAAATATTTTCCAATATACATTTATGGGTCATCAGGAAGGTTTCAATCAGCAAATAAACATATATTAAATCAATGGATACACTTGCAATAATGAAAATATATGGAGAGAAAGAAAACATACTGATACTTCAACTTTGCAAGTTGATTACTCAAGCTAAGCCTCTCTTCTGCCATAGTCTGGGCAGCCTTGAGCTGATTTTCTTCATACTCACGGATGTTTGCCACCCCTACAGACTGACTAAAATTTTTGAACAGTCGATCAACAATTTCATTAATCCTCTTCTCCAGCTTCGTGATGTCTTTGTTCCTCTTATCAGTCACATCCTTCAACTGCCAACAATTAAACCATATAAGAGAAGCAACATAATACCAGAGAATAAAAGCATAATTGTCATCATAAATTACCTTTTGAACCTCAGGAGTTATATGTCCAATCCTATCCTTAATATTTTTCTTCTCCTGCTTCAAGCTTTTAAGCTTGTCTTCTATACTTTTCTGCAACAAAAACATTTTATGTTATGCATCAGATATCTCATGGAGATCAATTATAAATAAAAAGTTTAATAAACACTTCAACACAATCAAAAAATCATTAAAGTATCCAGTATGGTTCAGATTAAATATTGTCAGTTCTCGACCACAAACTGCATATATTACCTTCCCAAAACAAAAGGTGAAAATAAATTTACCTATGGAATCAATAGAATCAACAAACCATTATGAATAAAAAAATTGTTTCCTCTTTAAAACAATACAGAGAGAAGAAGGCATTCCATTAAAAGGGGCTGCTTATATATTACAGCTACCTTCTCAATATCAGCATACTGGATTTTCTTTTCAAGTCCACTAATTCTCCCAGATGTTTCAGACTCCTTTAGCTGCATTTCTCTAATTGATCCAAGTTCTTCCAACTCAGCTTCAAACTGCTCCTTTTTCTTTTTCAGACCTGTAAAAAAGTAACAGTTAATATATAATAAAAAGACTGAAAATTTATGCATGAAACCAACCTTCAATTTTCTTATCATCCCACTTGTTTGACCTGGCTTCCATTCCACCACTTGTACCACCAGTCATTGTACCAGACTTCGAGAGCAGAATCCCATCAACAGTTACAACTAAAGCAAGAATACAAGTTTATGGATTAACGTTGAATTCTGTAGAAAGGATCAATAACTACTAAATGAAAAGGATACTAAACATTCACCTTTAAACCTCTCTCCAGTCCAGCTAAGACCCTTAGCTTCTTCAAGGTCATCACAAACTAGAGTATTGCCAACAGCAAAAAGAACTGCCTTCTCCAAAGCAGGATCAAATTTATGAATGTTAAGTACACAAAATGTATATGCATATGGCTTCTTGTTTTTCAAATTTTTTTCATATATGATAAAAAGAAAACAGACAAGGAAGCGTCCCATTGAGGAAGACTAACAAAAAAATGAAGAACCCCAGTGGTTTGGAGTGTTCTGCAACTATACAAAAGATAAATCTGTAAATTGTGAAGTAAGATGGCATGTAGAAATGTTTCTCCCATAATTAGAGAACAACTAATACAAGCTTTGGCAAAGGATATTGGATCACATCATAGATCAGCTTTGCTGTGCCACCTAAAGTGCGTAACCTTTCAATGATTGGCTTCACACGTACCGACTGAAGTGGGATGAAAGTCTGAGGAGGAAGCCTTTGCTCTTTCAAATACTGTAAAGAACAATCAGGAATACTCAAACTTTTACAAGAACAATGGTAAATATTTAAAATGTAAAAAACCTCGCAACTGAAAACACATTGTCATGACTATATCACAAAGACACAAACCCAACAACTCTTTGAATTTTCTCAGCCTTCTTAAACTCATAGAAACCATACAAAAGGGTAAAAGTAAAGGAGCCACTTCCACATAAGCATGAATCATCAACACACAAGCAAATTTATATTTCAATTATCCTACTTTTTTCTTCTTTATTATCATTCCAACTTTAAAATGGGGTACAGGGAACAAGTGGCAGTATATAAATAAAGAGTTAAGACCGTTCTTAGACACACAAAACTATTACTCATACGCATATTGCATTATACAACAAAAATATCTGACCAGTATGCAAGAACTCAAGATGATGGAATAACACATGGTTCATTATGCATTCTTGTCAGGTTGGAGTAATTTCTCAGCAATGATAGTATCCCTGTCAATTTTTTACAGATGCATAAAGGGAATTTTTCCTGTTTCATGTACTATATATCCTGCAGTGTCAAAAGATTGTCAGAAATAAAGAGGCATTTTACCAACACAAAGAGAAGTCAGACAGGTGAATGATTTTCATCACGCGAAAGCATTCACATATATGCTCAGACATTTGAACAGTTCAAGAAGGGTCTAAATACTTGTATGAAACTATTATAAGTTCTTTTTATGAAAGATAAATACCAAAATGTTCTTAATAGAAAAATCTAGAAAACGAAATGATTAGTAGAGAACACAGAAAATTAGCAGACCTTAATACATTCCTTTCCAGTATTTTCATCCTCCACAACAACAGCATCCATAAATCTTCCCATGGCAACAGTGACAGCAAGATTGTACTTTTTCTGAGTTGGCCTACAAAGATCAGTCATGCGACCATGAACACCTTGAAACAGGCGTTTCAGAGTCTCAACAGCTTGAGACAATCTAGTATCCCTCTCATTTTCATATCGATCAGCTTTCAGTTCACGTAACTGATTTTCTATTTCAGCAATTTTCGACTTCAAGTTCTCGTGCTTGGATCTGCATTTCATGATTTTAGGTACAAAAAGTAAACATAGGCAACAGAAAAGACATAAGAATGAGACCACGATGCACCCAAATTAATTTATCATCAACTTCAATAACCTGGACTTCTGGTGTTTATCTTGCATTTCTCGCAGTTCCTTTTTAAGATCTGCAAGCTCACCCTTCTGTTTAGCAGAGGTATCAAGAATCTTCTTCAGTCTAGCTCGCATTTGGTCCTCCTGTGCTTCCAGCTCATGCTCCCTATTACTCAACTGTTGGAGATTTTCTTCCAAATTCTTTTGAGCTTCAATATCAGTATGTTGCTGCCTATCCAGAAGCTCCTTCTCATCTCTTAACTTGGCAGTTTTCATCCCAGCATCCTCCTTACTGAAATGTCAAGATCCCGAGATCGTCAGTAAATAGAAAGTAGCTTTGAACAGAATCATGTCTAACTCATGAAGTTTATATCACATAAGAAAACGAGAACTAGTGACTGGTGAGACCGCTCAGAAGGAAGGCATATATAAAAAAGTAGACATCGCCAATGCTTTAATTAGGTCGAATGAAAACAAATTGAAAGGTTCAACAACAATTTTAATAATTCAAACAAGTTAGTCAATGATTGATGAAACCTATTTATAAGAATTTGGAGGAAATTTTAAATCATGGAAGAAAGAAAAACATCGAACTCCAACCTGCACAGAACCAGATAAAATCATTGTGATCATTAATAACAGAAAAATCAAGCAACACCCAGGAAACAGATGTAGGTAACACATTTTCTTTAATGATGTGATAATATGAAGGGAAACAAAAAGACATTAAGGATAATCCAGCAGAAGTAGATGGAAAATGAAACAGAAACATTCAATCATAAAAAAGAACCATGGTACAAGGACCAAAACCAATTCTAAGGTTGAATTTGAGGGAAAACAGGTGTTTTTTTTTAATTTCAGCCACAATAAAATCCATGAAAGCATGGAAACTAGAGAATCATGTCTCACAAGGAACCCAAAAGTTCTTACATTTGGAAATACTCAGTAAGTTGACTGTCAAGCAAAGGGAGCTTCCCAGTACCATCACGACTTTTTTCATTTAAGTCTTCCAACTTCGCAGTCAAATCTTGTATGCCTCTCTGTAATTCTTTTATATCATCACCATGTTTCCTCTTTTCTTCCTTTTTTCTTTCAAGCTCCTTTCTATTACTCTTGATTTTTGAATTTATGCGAGACTTTTCTTCATTTAATTTCATAAGCTCTGGTTGCTGCATTCAGAGTAAAAAAACAAAAGTACGGCCTCTCTTCAACTCATTAAAATTACAGATAAATAAGAAAAGATGATTAATACTTGGAACTAGCTACACAAGAAGTAATCATTATAGATATAGAAGCACGAGGATGCACAAACAAGAAAGAAGGCACGCTAGACATAGAAACTAATACAAAACATTTCAGGTGAGGAGCAAAGAATAAAAGGCAATCAAAGAATTATGTTTATCACAGACAATAGAGAGAATCTTATTCCCACTTTAAACAACCTAAACAACCAGACTTTCAAACTCTATATTGAAGCTTACACCATAAATGTTGTTCCACTGTCTTCCAGCTTGAGACATTGTCTTACAAGAGGAAAGTGGCAGGCAGTGCCCTTAAAATATTAGAATAACAGCTGAGTTTTTAGCACAACCTACATTAACTGTCCACCCAAGCATTTATGAAGATAATATGAGAGAAGGCCATGGCAAATGATGACATTTTTGCCACATGAACAGTTCATACCAAAATCACTTTCGAAGTGCTCAAGCATCTGTGCAGAGGAATTTGTTACCTTATCCTAGAACAAATCACCTAAAATTGAGATCAAACATCATTAATTGGAATAGAAGTCCTACACGTGAAAAGAAACAACCTAGTTACCACAGAATTCATGGACTAGGCAATGGCCTCCTATTACCCAAAATGGGCTCCAATTCAAATCCCCCATTCCCAACTTAACCATCTAAAGAAATATTCCAAAATAGCTTAAACAGGCATTCCAACGATACCAGACTGCACAGGCTCAACAGTCAAAAGAAAAAAAAGGCTTTCACAAACTCACACTTTTATCAAGTCTAATTCTTCTCTCGGAAATCTTTTTTTCACACTGAGCAATCTCCTTTAGGTACTTAGCCTGTTCCTTCTTCTTTTTGAGTGCTTCAGCTTCATAATGTTCTAGCTCGTGCATTATATCCTCGCGATTCTTCTTTTCAGAGTCGAGGTCATCGGCAAATTTGTCAATGTCCTTCTCTATGTTATGCAATTGCCATAAATAATGCTCTTTTTTCAAAGATTTCTGCATAATTTTTTTAAACCATCAAAAGGATATCATAATGTCCAAAAAGTAAAAGCAAGATTACGCAAATCAAAGGTTTGGATTAAACCAGCTCATCTTGCAAGCGGAAGTGCCTCTCAGCTTCTTCCTTCTGTTCTTTCTTTTGTTTTCTCTCCATCACGATTGTCCTCTTCCTCTGATAAATAAGCGCTGATTTTTCTTCAGCCCTAGCTTTTTGCTCTTCCAAAGTCTCATAATCCCTCTTAAGTTCTTCAGAACCCGAAATCTGTTCGAGCAGCCCCGTAAGTTCTTTGGGATTTTTTGAAGCAATGGACTCGACATCACCCTAAGAACACAATTTTTCCACCAAATTATACCATTATGTCTTACAAATTAGCTTAACTTCACAGAAATGGGGAAAACTATTTGAAGGGTGAAACAAAAATACCTGAAAAACAAGAAAATTTCGGGCCTTAACGAGAATACCAAGTGATCTTAGCTTTCCATTGTACTCATCCCAGTTGACATTACTGCCATCGATTTGATACTCGCTACCGCCAGTAGGGAGGATGGTACGGGTGAAACGGAGTTCGGAACCACCGGCAAGTTGGTAAACTAATCGCACAAATGCACGTCGGCCACTTTGCTCCTTCTCACGGTCGTCGAAAGCATAGATTAAGTCTCTGAGTTGGGTTCCACGTAGCTGACCAGTTCGGACTCCGAGAACAAAGCTTATTGCGTCCATGAGATTCGACTTGCCGGCCCCATTCGGTCCAATAATGGCAGTGAAGTCAGAGAAGGGACCTATAGTTTGAAGCCCCTTGTAGGACTTGAAGTTATTAAGCTCTAGTCGAAGTATTTTTCCTGGAGAAGTCAACGATGGCATGGTTTTTCACTTTTTTCGGTTTGGAGTTTTCTGAATTTGGACCAGTGATGTTAGGGTTCTGATGAATCAGGGTAGAATGATAAAAATGGTGTAGGTTTTGTTTGGAATGGGGGAAACGTGATGTAATTTTCCGGGAAAGTTGGTGAACATGGGAAGTTTTAGGGATTCAGTGGGAAGAGAAGTGGCGGGAGTAGAGAAATTTGGGGGATTCTAGAGCGGTATTGGGGTTTGAGGATACTGAGACTACAAAAATGGCAGAAGAATTTTACTTTTGATGGGCTTCTAGGATTTACGTTAGCCGTTGAAACAAAAAGTACTTCATATATTGGCCCCATAGATTTCAGGCCCGCTTTTAATTCACAAACATTTTAATATTAAATTTTATTTTCAAATTCAAACAAGACATTTGATCGTCAAATCGTAAACGTCATGATGACGTGACACTTTTTCTTTGTAAACTTTATTTTGTATGACTTTATGATTAAACTTTAAAATACTTCAATTTTATAACCTAAATTTTAGTTTGTGTATAAATTTTTTTTTGGTATCCCAAGGGGTCTAATCCCCTGAGATATTGTCGGGCATAAAAGGTGGGGACCTCTCCCAATAAGATTTTTTGTATCTGCAAGGGTTCAAACTTGAAACCACTTGTTTAAGCGATCAGAACCCCTTCCACTCAAGTCAATTTTTGTTAGTGTTTGTGTATCAATTTAGTGCTTACAAAGACACGTCAATTTCTTTGGCTATCGGTGTCAGTCAAACGTCATTTAACTTCAATAGTTATTCTCAACAAGATATGTATCAAAATATTTGTATTTCACCATCTTTTTTTCCTTTAATTATTTTTTTTTCACAAAATTCACTTAAAATCAACAAAAGTCCGTTAGTGTTGTTTGTCTTTATATATTCAGTTAAACGTTTTGATGTTCTGATCTCTTTTAAAGACTATTTAATGAAACTGATTTGGAGGCATATAATTTTAAAAAAATAATGTTTATTTTATGAGATCATTCAATAATTTTTTATTTTTTAATGAACTTTCAATACTTATTATACATTATTTTTTATATAATTACTGATTTTTAATTTATTAATTGACTAATTTTAATCAAGTACTGCAGAAACGAAGACAATGTCTCCAATTTAATTTAGCCCATTTACAAATATCAAAATTCGACTGTCTGATCTATCTCTGTCAGGCGAAGAAGCTTCAACCTAAATCTTAAGTGCATGAAGAATTTACACTGTATTTAAAAAAATACAAGAAACAAATGTTAATATTATTAATAATTTAATTTTAAAATTTAAAACTTAATATATATATATATATATATATTAAATTGTTTGTGAACTTTTTGAGTCAGATATCAAGTAATTATCTTCAACTCATTAATAACTCGAGTTGAATTCGAACTCAAATAATGAACTTTAATTGAGTTAAACTTAAATAACTTACTATATATTTCATCTTATTTACAACTTTAATATTCTCCTTGGAAATATTAAATAATTATTTATAATATATGAATATTTCATCCCCATATATTTAATTTGTTTTTAAATCATCTCCAAGTAATTTTAAACTTTTTAAATGCTTCTAATTGTTTATAAACGTATGATTTTATGTTAGGGGTGAATTTTTAAATTTTTTTGAAGGAAATGGATTTATAAAATTCTAAAGATAAAAATAAATTATCAATTAAAAATATAAAAAAATAAAATATATATTAATTTAATTTTTTTTTAAAACTACTGTCTCCACCCATTTCTTTTCTGTTCATCCCTACTTTTAACATATGAAATGAGTTCTATCAATATCTCAACTCATAAAACTAACGTTGAAACACATTCAAACCCTCCATATATTATGTTTGTTTTTATGGTTACAACACGAGTGTTTAGTTTGATATGACACGACAGGAAAAAGTACATAAAATATAAAATAAAACAACTATAAATTTGTAATACTTTATATATCATTATCATGTTTATAAAAAAAATGTTTTTATACTTTAAAATTTGACAAAACTTTCGAGATAATGTTCTGAAAAAAATTAATTCACGAGATAAAGCACTCCCAAGATTAATTACTCAAATAAGGTGAAATCCACAGTGTTGGTCGTAGGTCGCCATGCCTTCCGGGCGACTTACTAGGTCGCCATGTCTTCCCGGCGAGCTACAAGAGATTGCATGTGCCATGCACGTCCCAACACGCTGGGCATCCGAGGCCATCCGACCGAGGCCATCCGAACGAGCTATGCGAGGGCATCTGAGGGCAACCGAGCGAGCTATGTGAGGGAATCCGAGGGAAGCCGAGCGAGGGTATGTCGCCCGGAGGACATGGCGACCTACAAGGTCGCCCGGAGGGCATGGCAACCTATGTGTTGGGACGTGCATGTGCCATGCAACACGTTCATTCTCTCTGTTTGAACAAGGGTAGGTCGCCCGGAGTGCATGGCGACCTACAAGGTCGCCCGAAGTGCATGGCGACCTACAAGGTCGTCCGGATTGCATGACGACCTACGGCCAACACTGTGGATTGCACCCTATTTGATCAATTAATCTTGGGAGTGCATTAGCTCGTGAATTAATTTTTTTCAGAACATTATCTCGAAAGTTTATATTCTTTTTAAAACAATTTAATACTGATAAAAAATATTTTTCATACTTTTTTAAACGATCACTTTAAAATATATATTTTCATATTCAACTTTCTCAAATACAATTTTTAGTACCATAATATATGATTAGACTCATAGATAGATCGAGATGACAAATGAAGATAGTTATCATATGAAAATTTAAAATTATTATATATTTTAATTTTATTTATATATTTCCTATCAAAAATTTATTTTAATATATTTTAAAATTCTATAAATTTATATATCTTAAAATTTTAGAATTTCATCCCACATAAGATGTTAAGGTACCGAAGTATGACCTCCCTCAAAAGGGTCAAGGGTGCAGTCGATTTGCAGGTTCCAAGGGTACACGACAATTAAATTGAGAAATTTGGGTTTTGGCCCATTTATTGAGATGATAATTAAAACTATTATCATATTATATTATTATTTTCGTAAAATTTTAACGAAAATTCAACGTAAGGAGACTAAAATAAAAGTAAAATGTAATGTCATATATAATTTCATAAACAAGTAATTAAATAATCAAAATAAAAATTCATAAATAAATGAAATATATAATAAATAACTTATCCTACTTTTTTATAAACGTCAAAAAGAAAAAAAAGTGTAATCTTTGTCTAACTATATAAAATTATCATATTTTACATGTTTTAAAAACAAATCACAAAAAATTATATGATAAAATAATCAAATGTGATATAAGTGCATAGTAAAAATGAGAAAACACATATTTCAAAAAGTGAACAAGAAAACTAAGGGGTTGTTTGTTTGCCTCTTAATAGAATCATTCAGCTCTGAATACTGAATCGTTCAGCATTTAGTGCGTTTTTTTCGCACCTCTGGATGATTTAGTGCTGACTGATTCATCAAAACAGTGTTGAATGATTCATCACAGAAGTACATTCTGAATGATTCAGAGCCATTATCAAACAATATGTCATATTCAAAACTAATTCGTTCAGAACCTCTGAATCGTTTTATATTTGAATCATTCATCGCTTAATCATTTTGAACTAAACAAACAGCCCCTAAATAGATAATAAAATGACTAAATTGTGATATAAGTGAATAGTAAAGGGACTTTTTTAACGGGATTGGACCTAAAACTTTTGTTTTTGTTAAAGGACCTAAAACATTACATGAGCGTTGTTCAGTCATTTAACATCTCCGTGGCAAACTTAGTAATTTCCTTAATATGCAAGGCTAATGATTATTCTCTTCTCTATAAATGCATACAATCCACCAGCTTCTCATTCTCCGCACTCCACACCCATTTTCTCTTATCTCAATCTCTCCCCGCAATTCTTCTTTTCTTTCTCATTTATAAATCGCGACAAATTTAATTGTATAAATCCAGATTCCGGTCACTGAATCTGAACCTTAATTTGTTGTTATTTTACCTTCCTACCCTTTACCATTTTGCCTGCTTATTAATTTACCCAAACAACCTCATTTCTCTCGGTGGCCCGATTTTTATCCATCTGATACTTTTTTATTATATATATATATGGGTGGCTAATTTGTAGTAGATATTTGATGCTGACGTGGGGTGCATCAAATAAGTCGCAACAAATGAACACCAAAACGATGCGTCACCCTCCCCGACGGGTTACCGATTCTATGCCCAACAACAACAGTAAGCGCAAAAAGAGAGACGGTTTAGACCTCGAAAAGTTAACCCCTCCTCCGCCAACTAAACCGCCCATGCTAGCCGCCGCCGCTGCTCACCCGGTTCTCCACAACCAGCTCCTCGCCGGTTACCTAGCCCACGAGTTCCTCACCCGCGGGACGCTCTTCGGCCAGCCATGGGACTCGACACGACCGTTACAGACGACCGCCGAATCCAGGAGGGCTATCGGAGGAAAAGCCGAGCCGAGGGAGAGATCCGCGACGGGCGACGCCGAGCCGGATCCGGAGCCAAAGTTGAGAGAGGAGAACAAGCGTCAAAGGTACGTTGAAGTGGCGAGATTGCTGAAGACCGATGGGACCCACGTGCCCGGCATCGTCAACCCGAGCCAACTCTCTCGTTTCTTAGAGATGTAAGGTTGTTTTTTTTCCTACGTGGCGACATCTCTTTGGACGTAGGTTTTTTAACCTAGTGCCAAAGTTCCAACAACGAGATTGAATTCTTGTTAGAGCACTCTCCGTCTTCTTCTCCGTCTTTGCTCATACCGGAGTTCTCTGTGCAATATACGTAGCCATAACTGATAACTCGTAAGCACAGCTCGTTAGTTTTTCTTTTCTTGTGCTGCATTTGATGTTTTCGCTTGTATTCTGAATGAACAATTCAAATGAAAATTTCGGATCCGTTTCAATGTTTTTAGGTAAATCAAAACTCAATACCTTTGTTGTTGTTGTTTAAGAACAGATCAATCTCAGTCTGTCGGTATCCATCGAACAAAATTGCTTTTCAATCTCATTCAAATCAATCAATATCCGACGTTGGTTTTAGCTAATCTAGTAAATAAAGTAAATCTACAAAAATTCGAGATTTCAAAATTGTGATCTCTTGGATACATTTTCTTGATCGGTTATAAAATAATAATTCTCTTTTTAATAATCGAAACAATTCAATGAAATGTTTTATATCACATTCTTAAATTATGTTTAAAGATATCAAATATATTTCAACAACACTTTTTTTATTATATAAAATAAATAGGATAACAATTTAACTTAAAATCAACTTATTTTGACTCGATCCGATCTGATAAGGTTCGATTTTTAAAATAAAAAATTTAGGTTTGGTTCATATTTTATAAAGGAGTTAGGTTAGGTCGGGTTTAGGTAGATAATGAAAAAACATTGAGTCGACCTGAGAGTAATTGTGTAATTTATTCAAATAAATTTATAGATAATTTCTATAATAATCACTTTCTCTATTATTTTTTAATTAAATCCTTATTTTATATCGGATCGAGTCGAGTTTGATTTGTACTCCAAAAATTTGAATCCAGTCGGAGCCAGGTAAAAGATATATATATTTCAAGTTAGAGCGAGTCGGATAAAATGTATATATTTTTTGGATTATATTGAGATTGAATGGAGTGTACATGTTTTTATTAAGTCCGGTCGAATTAATCAAAAACTCTACCTAAATTGACTCGTTGCCATCCTAAAAGTAAAAGACAGTTTATATGTATAAGGGAATTCCAAATTCCTAAAGAAAATAAACCTACCCTCTTAAAAATCCATTTACACACATACATATAATTACTAAAGAAAATAAACCTACCCTCTTAAAAATCCATTTACACACATACATATATATATATACATATATATATATATATATATATTACTTTTTAAATAGTATTTGTCATTATTAATGTTGTATTATTAAGGTTGTTATGGTTAAACTTTTAAACTTTGAATTTAAATGTTTCTCCCTACTTTTTCTATAGAACTCTTATATTTTAGTACAAGCCAAGCGCTTCCAATAATCAAAGGATTTTTTATTATTCTTTGAAGTCTCGAGATTAAATACTATGTATCTAATGATATGAACATTCATTATTGAAAGTGAATATTTAGAATTAGGTGGTTTTTTAAATTATAGTATCCTTTTAATGACAATAAAAAGAACAAATTATTTAAATCTACTAAAGAGAACAAATTATGTCAATTAAAAAATTAAATTTCAGAATTAACCGAAGGACTAAAATCATAATTAGACTCAAGCTAAAAGCTTGAATGATTTATCTTATTTTGTTGAAGATTCAAGGCAAATGCAGTTAGCTAGAAAAGGCAAATGGAATGGCCTCCTCGGCTTCACATTTACGTGTCCGTGGGACCCATTATCTGACCCGAATATGATCCGATACAGTAAAATTGTCATAAATAAAATAATACCACTTGGGGAAACTATTAATTAGTAAATTAATTTTATTGAATCCCCTCTCTTTTTCTTTTACGCTACACCTAACCCTAACCCTAATCCTAATTCTAACCCTATTAAGACTAAAAGTTCGAAACAGTAATTTCTCCTCTCTTCTCATTCGTTATTTCCCTTTTACGCCATCTTCCTCTTCCTCTTCCGTTTCTTCATGTTTCTTATCCTTCTCCGGTCGTTTCAAAAATGGCCGTACCATATTGGACCTCAAAATCTCAATATGAAGAATAATCAACTAATCGGATCTTAAACTTTAACGTTATTGATACAATAGATATGATTGAGAGCATTCGATCGAGTCGAGTTGAGTTGAATAATTTTTTTTTAAGTAATTTAAATTGACGAGTCATATTTTATAACTCGAACTTAATTTTAAAATATGTTGAATCGAGTTTAAGAAATTCGAATCAAATCGGATTGTTCGAGTTTTTATCAAAATTTAATTATATTTATTTATAGTGTCATGGTACGTGTTTATTTCACTGTTTTGATTTTTCTCTAATAATGTAAGACACATACACACATATATATATATATATACATTTTTTCATATTCTTTTCATATTGTAATATTATTTAATATATCACAAAAAATCTAAAATTATAAAATATATTTACGATATTATATTTTAAAAAATGTATTTTGAGGATAAAAGACTGATGAGAGTTAAAAGGAATCAAATAATTGATGTGAAGAAAGAATTTATAAATAATTGTAATAAAAAAATTAAATTGAGTAAAATGCAAAGTTAAATTGTTAAATAAAAAAAAATATTTTTAATAAAAAAGAATCGAAGTTACATATGCATTCTATAGTAGTAGAGGAGCATTTGGTTTAAATTAAATAAAAAACATATAAAATACATAAATCATACAAAATTGGAAGACTAAATTGGAAAAAATAGAAAAATTGTTATCAAAAAATAAAATTGAAACTATATATGTATCCTACTATGATTTAGGAACATGTAGTTCAAATTTGGTAAAAATTTGACTTAAAATTAAGGAGGAGTTGAATGAATAGAAAATCAGGGACCAAATCGTAAATCCATTAAAATACTCATCTACATTTTTTATTTCCCGAGTTTCCCAAAAATTTAAAATTTCGACTTAACTCGAATTCAAAAATCGAATTTATAATTTAAGTTTAACTTGAAATTATTAAAAAATAATTTTATAAGTCCAATCGAATTTTACTCATTCCTAAATTTCATATCCAAAAAAGTTTTAAAAGTTTTCATCTTGGGATTTGCTTTTCATTGACGCCGAATAATAGCTGGTTTGGGAAATTTTGTTTGGATATAAGGTTGTGAATGGTTAACAGTTTGATTTCTTAGCAAAGTAAAAGTTTGGATTTTAAGTTAAATATATCTAGGGGTGAGATGGGTCGGGTCGGGTCGGGTCGGGTCGGTTTTTGGTCCATCCGATCCTACCAGAGAACAAGGAGTCATCCACCTGAAATCCGACCTAAACAAGTTTTCACCATACCCGATATTTAACTTAAAACCCCGACCCGACCTAAAATAATAAAAAATATTTTATTCAATAAAAATAGTGATTTAATTGAAAAAAATAATATATGAATGAGTATTATTGTAATTATTTCTAAATATATAAGATAAAATTATATATTTTTTTAGGTCGGGTCGAATATTTTTCACCATAAACAAAATCCGACTCGACCCGAATATCACATTTTTAAAAAATTCGACACAACCCAATCCGAACCATTTTTTAAAAAAATAATCTAACTCAATCAAATCGAATCGAATTAGAACCCTTCAGATTTAGGTAAGAACCCGTCGAATTTGGATTATATGCCCATCCCTCAATATATCTGACGCAATAATATTATAAAAATGAAAAAATATAGAAATAAAATAAAAGTTATAGAAAAGAGGACGCTCCTTTTTAGCACAGTAAAACGGCACCGTTGTACTTGGATAAGATCATAAGAAAAGGGGAGCGAGGTTTTGGGTTTTGCTAACTCGTGGCTTCTGCTTTGCTCTTCCTTGCTTCTCCATTTTTCAGTTTGATGAATTGGAGCGTTCCATTTCTTCAAATCCTTCAAAACCGTAGCACAAATCCTCTCCAAAATATTTGTGGTAAGTCAAAGTTAATTTTCAATTACATATGTTTATAAAAAAAAATGTGAATTAATGTATGTAGAATTGAGAAAGCAAATGAGTTTCTTATAAGCATGCTGGATGATTGCTGTGGTTAAAAGTTAAGCCGTTGATTTACATGATGAGCTGCCCACTTCTGATTACTTATTTCGTTTGCTGGTAGGGTTTCTGTTGAAAAGAGTATAGTATCTCAGCTGGAGTATTGGCTATTTTGGATTTCCATGATTGATTATGATTATTGAAAAAGGGGTCAATTGAAATCCTGAAATAGAAGCAAATTCTGGGAAACTAGTTCTGCTCATCATTATTACTTTGGTTGAGATTGTTTCTGTATGCTCATCTTTATTACTTTGGTCGAGATTGTTTCTGTATTCCTTTGCTAAATTAGCTCTTCTTTCTGCTAGGAAATTCTTTGTTGTTGAGAAAATGTTATCCTTTCAGACAGGTTTTGTTTCCAAATCGTTTTCGCCTATTTGTGTTGTGAGAAACGATCGTAGTTCCCGTAACATGCTGCCTATTTCTAATGTTACTCTTTGTCATTCATATGACATGAGGCCCGTCTTTGTACGCCAAAGACGTTACTTGAAAACTTCCCCTTGCTTTGCTTATTCGAGAAAATCCAATTCCGGTTCCAGCCCTGGCCCTGACCCTGAAGCTGGCTTGAAGTCTAAATCTAAAGCTGAAACGGGAAACCAGAACCAAAAGTCTGTATTTTCCCATAACAAAGATGAAAATCACGATAAAAGCTTCCCGAAAACCATTCCTAAGAAGCCAAGGCGTGGTCGTAGGAATGAAACGGTAGCTGTCGAAGATTTTATTCGTGACTCACTTGAACAAACATTTGAATCAATCCGGCGGCAGAATCCTGAAGTTTTTGAGAATAAGGAAAATGTGATGAAGGATAGACTCGAAAATGAGTTCGATCGTGACAGTAGCAGTGATGAAGATAAGGACGAGGATGGTGAAGTTGGTAAAAGAGGAAAGAAGATGGTGGTGGAAGAGGAGGATCCAGATTGGCCTTTAGATGCAGATGTTGGGTGGGGGATTAGGGCATCAGAGTACTTCGAGCAGCATGCTATTAAGAATGTGGTGGGTGAAGATGGTTCCGAGATTGACTGGGAAGGAGAGATTGATGATAGCTGGGTAAAGGAGATTAACTGTCTCGAGTGGGAGAGCTTTGCTTTCCATCCAAGTCCGCTAATCGTTCTTGTATTTGAGAGATACAAAAGGTAACTCTTTTCGTGTCAAATTTATTGTGTTACTGTTATTCTCTTTCAAATGACACACGCTCCAGTTTTTGGAATATTCTAGCGTTATGACACAAGATATTTGGTTTGCGCTTGTGTATAAAGTTTTTGCTAATTAATTTTACCTGTTGTTAGTAAGAGCATGCAGACAAAAAAGGGCTCCTCCGGATGCATGATGCACAACTTTAATGCATAAATATGTTTTATCATGTTTGTGCTTATTATAGAGGCGAATGCTTTTCTAATATCTGTCATAAGCCATATTTTAATTACCGGTTAATAAGGGGAAAAATCCATTTAATTTTGTTGACAGGGCAACTCACAATTGGAAGACTTTGAAAGAGCTAGAGAAGGCAATCCAGGTATATTGGAACTCCAAGGACCGATTACCACCTCGGGTAAGAATCTTTGCTTTGTCTTTTATCTGAAAATACTTCATGTACAAATTACTCCATTTGACTGCTTGTGAAAGCGAATTGTGATATATTTTGTTAGGGAAAGGTCCAATTTTCCTTTAACTATTTTGTATTATTTATCTGCCAATAATAATGCCTTCGAATATTCAAGAAAACAGGCAGTCAAATTGGATATCAATATTGAGAGAGACTTGGCATATGCCCTTAAAGTCAGGGATTGTCCGCAGGTTTTATTTTTACGTGGAAACAAGATCGTGTACAGAGAGAAAGGTTGGTGTTATACAAATTATTGCTCTGTCAAATTGCTCTTAACTCCTTTATTTGATGCTACAACTTATTGAGGGTTTTGCAGAGTTTCGCAAGGCTGATGAACTGGTCCAAATGATTGCTTATTTCTATTATAACGCGAAGAAGCCTGCATGGATTGATGAGGCATCCATGTGTAGACCTTATTAGGTTTGTATATTTTGACACTCCTAATTACATGCTGATGAATCGTACTTTGTTCTCGATTGTTTTGCTTCTGCTTTTGGTTGGGATAATAATATCTGTAATCCTTTTGACCAGGGATCTTATATGCTTCAAGGCAGGTAATCCCCAAGCCTTATCCTTTCTGAAGATAAGGACACCATTATAAAAAGAAGTTGACTTGGGGAAGCATGAACAAGTAATGAATCATCTTTACACACTTTTGATTTCTAAACATTTGAAGAATCAAATCTTACACCTGTACTCGAATATATGTCGCATTAAATCAAATACGAGTTTATATTTAAAATGAATATCCCAGCCTCTGTTATCATACAAGGTCTCTGGGATGTGGGAGACATAAATAAAAGAAAATAAAAACGAAAAGGAAGAATAACTCTTATTGGTTTCTGCTAAGTAAAAAGAGTCTGGTACACTAGCTAGTTATGGTAAATGTTTATATAACAACCAAAAGAGCCCCCCCCCCCACCAAAAAAAAAAAAAAAAATCCTCCTCAACTCAATTGTTATCCCCTTCTATTAAATCCGAAGCATAACTAAATTGGGACCCTGCTTCGGAAAAAGTATCCGAGTCTGTGGCTTTGGACCGCCTCGAGCTTCCTTCACCAACCAACTCTTTCACCTTCTTTCGCTTACTTTTCTTTGGCTCTTTCGAGGTCGACTCGGTAGCTTGGGTCGAGTCCTTGGGTTTTCTAGTCTTCTTTGATTGCTTTGATTTGTCTGTTTTCTCCTTTGTCGAAGACACGCCACTCCCGTTTGTGGATATAGTGCGCTTCGATGATTTTGGCAGTTGTGGCGTGTCTTTTGCTCCAGAACTTTTATCCCTTAAACCTTTTCGGCTCAAAGTATTGTTATCTGTAAAATTATACCCAAAACAATGATTGCATATGTACAAATGAATCAAATGATGCAACCAAAATATTTCTTGTTTGTACCTCCAAGAGCTAAAGGTGGTGTCTGAAACCCTCCTGTTGGTGTTTGAAACTCATTCATCTGCATGTAATTAAAGAAAAAAGAGTCAGAAATATAACCATTCATCGTGTTGACAACTTATTTTGTGGTTATAAGAACAAGGTGAAATACTTTTACTAAATAGCTATGGTACTCGAACATGGATGCAAGTATCGAACATAGGATCTTTAGAGGTTATATCCATCAATCCAAGTGTAAGGTGATTCATGAAATAGTAACGTAATTATAGTTAGATTTGAGTGAACTACCCAGCTAGGTTTAGACTGTACTGTTGAAGGACCATCCCATCCTATATGAGCCACGTGCTTTACATCTGTCGGCAGACCAATCTGCATTTCAGGCTCTTTTTCGCTTTCTGCAAAAACAAGTTTCACCCATTTCTTGCCATTATTACCAACAAACTCAAAAACCAAACTATTCCAGTGATTGCTTTGCTCTTGGGGTCATATATATATGTGTGTGTGTGTGAATGTGTATATATATTTCTGCATCTTATAATGTCGTAAGGAGAGATGGAAATACATACCAAATATGTGAGTAAAGTATTTAAGACCTTTTAGCAACCCTTTCATCATTTTTTATTTAATGATATCTAAACTAAATCAGCATATGGAGGTGGAATAAATCAAGCTTCAAATCTGAATCTGAAAACTGAGAAAAAGAGAAAAATCGTAATAATATGTCATATATTCGGATATCGACGTAGGCATGATCTTTCAAATACACGAAAAAAAAACAATATATCCGTATAGGATTCTTGAATCCAGATAACACAATGAAATATTTTTTTTCTTACAGCTTTGGAACATTGGCTCTGCTAACACATTTCACCTTTAGAGAAGGAACAAAAGGTCGTGTGATACAACAAGCATGCATGGTTTTCATGCATGCAAAAAACACATGCAGGTTTGCAAAGAATATAAAATGCAAGGGAGGGGAACAGTAATTTGTTTCTTGAACCTTAAATAGAAGAAAAATAATTTAAAAAAAAATATAATATTGGTTCAGAAAGTTGGACTGTTTAGGGAAAATGAGTGCTTATTAGGAAGGAAGGATAATTTCTGTTTTAAGGCAAAACGTGCAATAACTCAATGGAAATGCAATCTAAAATAACAATGACTTAACGATAATTTAGGTTTTAGAATTATCAGAGGTATATTTCGGGAGTTTTTACCAAATTGTCTTATTAAGAACATACAGATTATTGGGTCTTTGTGCTATTTCCTGTTTTTATTTATAGGATACATTTCTTTGGGGTCAAATCCTTTTTATTAGTCATCGTTTTAAGTATAAATTGTGAATTTAGTCTTTGAATTGTCAATCCTGCTCAGTTGGTAGAGCACAAGGCTCTTAACCTTATGGTCGTGGGATCGAGTCCCACGGTGGGCAATTCATAATTGCCGGATGTCTTCCACGGAAGTTGTTCTCAACCTAGCGTTGGGGGCAGTCTACTACCCTACCTCTCCCTTTACCCCATTACATATGAGAATAAGGTCAGCTAATTTTTTTGTGTGAATTTAGTCTTTGTATTTTTATTTGATGTTTTTAATCTCGTACATGTCAAGTTTTGGAATTCTAGTCCTGACTAAAATACTAACCATTATATTTGTTAAATAAAATTATATTGTTAGTCCCTCGATTATGCATAAGTCATAAATTCAGTTCTTGTTTTTCACTTCGATCATTTTAGGTTTATGTAATTTAATTATATTCTATTATACCGTTTGAGTTAAGATTAAAATTTTAAATTTCGAAAGATATATATATATTAAAGTTAACTTAATACATAATATATGAACTAATGACAGAATTTGACAAAAGACGTTTATATGCTTTCTTGTTATGTCTTGCTTAAAACAATTTTAGTTTAAGATTAATTATGGCTGTATGTAACATCATTTGCCTGGTTAAGTGAAAGGGGTTTGACAACGTCTTAAATCATGTCTATTTATTTTTTTAATGTTTTTTTATAATTTCTAATATTTTTTACTATTTTACGAGTCAAGATTTTCAAAATATAATACATATTATCATTTTATTGATTTGTTTGATTGCTAATAATCTATCGATATTAATCTATTAACTAAAACGATTAACGCAAGGGATAAAATAATCTTTTTACTAATTGACTTTTTCATAAGGATTAATTAATTTTTTTAAAGATATTTTAACCCTTTAGTAAGAATTAAAAATATAAAATTATAAACAAATGAAGTAAAATTATATTTTGACTTTCAAAAGAACTGTAATTCAATTTCGACGGCCCTGTAAATAGTTGAGATACATGAGAAGGCAAATTAGAAAATAAAAGTGAGACATTTAGAATATAAAATGTCAAAAGCTAAACGAATACAAAGAATTACAAAATGAAGGAAGGAAGAAAAAGCAAGGAAAGGTTCCAAAGGAAGTTCTAAAAAGATTGATGAGATTGCACCTATGACTTCTTGGCCTACAGTTAAAGCATGCAAATGAATAAGTAATCCGAATTATCCATTTGATCAACTGTTTTCTGATATAAATAAAAAAACCTTACCTTTTTCAAGTACTTGTCTTGAATCTTCAGTGCCTTTTGACATGCTTTCTTGGCATCCAAGTTTCCAGTAATCTCACCCAATATCTAGAATAAGAGGAAAAAGACTTCAAGGTCAGAAAAATGCTGCGGTATCAATGCAAACTCACGAAGATTTACGTGTAGGAGGGGGAGGGAGGGAGAGAGAGACGTTGACGACATCATCGAGACCCTTGGCGTCCTTTAGAATCTGTTTATTCTTGGTCTCAAGAACGCTAGCAACAAGGAAGACCGAGAGTGCGCTGGTTTTATCCGCATGTCCACACTGCACATTTTTTCTTTGGAATTTACCATACTGCTTAAGCATCTTCGGATCTATTGGTTCTGTGGTTTCGTCATCTAGAGCTGCATCGGGTTGCTCGTAATACGAGAAGATATTAGGGTTGTACTCCATTGCCCACATTACCTAGAACCAATCTCCGTCTTAGTATAAGCATGCGGAATAGACCCCACTACTGTTTGAGGCTGGAATTAATAGAATTCATTCCTCTCACCTCCCAAAGATACAAAGCATCGACAAACGAGAACTCTCGCCTGAAAAGCACCATTAGCATGCGGAACGCAAACAAATATTCCCCTCCATCCAGATCCTCTGTCACACAAATTTCTCAGGATTTTAGTTGAACAACATAAAAATTGTAAACTACGAAGGTGGTAAAAAAAGGTCAATGCAAATGGAACGGTAAAACAAACTCATAGAGAAAATTAATGTGGCAAAGACGTACCAAGGTGTTGATGAAGCTTAGGGTCAACAGTTTTAACTACTTGTGAAAGTGTACCAAGCTGGGACTGCACTCCTATTGAAGTTGTACTGCACCTAAAGTTCTCCCTCTGTTGCAAAAATCAAAATCAGAAGTCAATTTCAAACTATACCGTATATAAACCACAAACATTACAGGAAACAAGCATGAAAACGAAGCACAATTCCATTATGCCATCATCAAATCTTTACAAACTAATTCCAAGGATATGAAATACTAAAAGATGGTGCATCATCGAATAAATTATGCTATCAACAATCCCGCAAGAAAATAAACATTCTACCAGTCTGCGCATTGCACGCTCAAAACACCAAAATGCATCAGCTTCGTCTTCAAGAAGTATTACCATTGGAGAGCATATGTCATTCATTCCTGCTCAAGAATGAACAAAGCCAAAAATGTCAGAGGACAAGAAGACTTCAGCTTGGTAATAATAATGCAATTAACAGCTATTACTCACCTTGAACATAACCGATATCAGCATCTACCCAGGAATATATAGCAAGAACATCCCAGAGTTTTGCTTGATTAGCTTCATCCTCATAAAAGACAAGTGCTCGATCAGTTCGGACAACATCCAAACCTACAGACCAAATAGATCAAGTACATTTAAGGACCATTGAAATTTAAACAAAGCTACAATTATAATTTCTGAGACGTATGGATGATCTAGAGCTGCAGAAGAAACCCGTGTTCTTCTTGCTATTAACCCAGCAGCATAGAATATCAATAAGAATATGCTAGGCATTTATGTTCCAATGCTGTAAAGTATATGGAAGATCCAATCAGTTGAGCATGAAACTATACATCGCACATACCAATTTGATGCAAGGATTGCATCCACTGAGCAACTTTCTTGTCTGAAACATCAGGTGGCACATCACCACCTTCGACTCCTATTGGTTGACCGTCATCAGTAATAATTGGTTTTGTAATGATCTTTCCACTACCAATTACTGGCACAATCTTCTGGCATTCAGTCTTCCACATGCCATATCGCTCCCTGGAGTGGATAGTGTGAAAAGTTCAGTCACAATGATCAACCAACTTATGGAAAGTATAGCATCAACGTTAAGAGAAAGAAAAAGCTGAGCGTTTTGAATGAAGCAAATTAAAGGGTGCTTCAAAAGTTACTGAGCTATAAAATATTAATTGGGGTAAGTGATAACCATATGGAGTGCTACTAAAATTTAGAAGCGAAAAAAGGAAATGAGTCATGAATAATTTATACTTGTTGAGATGTTAGAATCAATTTCCTAGTTCGAAGTATCGATGTAAAGTTGTTACCTCCTTTGCTCTCTAAGCTGATTCCGTTCATCAAAGGTACTATTAGGATCAAAGCAACCTAAAAGGAACTCCCAGACTAACCCTTTGATTGAAGGGTGAATACCCTACCATAACAAATCAAGTAAAGCTAAACGCAATTAATTATCGATAATAATTTTGTTCAGCTTTTCAACATATAGAAATAGAAAACTATTAAACAATAATATGCAAACCACACCATTGTGAACAGACACAAGTAGTTCATGAAAAAACATGCGCATAAACACATAAATATGCATTCACATAGATAGATGTCAGTTGATGGGTTGGGAACGAGAAGGGAGACTAATAAGGATGTCATTTACATTGGTTTCTCAAGAAGGAAAAGGTGATGCATGTTATAAGATATGATGTATGAGTAATCTATACCCACTCAAACTTGCTTTGATTACTCTGAGAAAATTCAGTTCGCTATAACCTCCTGAGATTTTTCAATTTTCATAAACTTAAAGAAATATGAATATGATATTGATTATTTGGGTGCTAATATCATAAAAGCTCACAAAGGCAATCTCACACTGAAAAAAACATTCAAGAACTTCATTAAAGACTCGGAAATCTCATCTAATCAACCATTAATCATACTATCAAAAATCTTAAATAGTATACCATAATCCTTATTCAATGTCCAACATTAAATGTGTATGTGTATGTGTGTAGTCGAAGAAACATAATTATAAATAGAACTCGAAAGAAGCATACTCCTCGTTGGATTCGTCTAAGAACTTTTTCTATATCGAGGTGACCATCTTCAGAGAATGCAGCATGCCATCTCCTTGAACTAAGTGTTTTCCCTACCTGGGAGAATAGTTCAAGTAAAAAAGCAACGCATAGTGAACAGAAAATTAAGGGAAGTGATGTTTAAAAGTCGCAAACCCTAGGCCGAAAGCGGGTCTTTGGAATATCAGCTAAGCATTCTGGTCTTATGGGATAAAAGGACTCCAACTCCTCTGTTCCCGCATTTCTACCAAATATCCCTTCTATTGCCGCCCAATCAACCATCTAATTCTAAACAAGAGACCCTAATCATTTACTGCCAACACAATCAAATTAAAGACACTAACAAATAATACATAGGAAACTGTGAATACAAACATCAAAATCATTGACACTGGTAAATAGAAAGAAAGAAATGATGAAAAACATCACCAGCATGAAAGAAACAAAACAAATAAATAACATCATGGAAACATTCGAATGCCAGATTAATTTCATTGATTGAAACCCAGAAATAAAAATCATCAATTAGACAATCCAATGGTAGATTCAAATATTTCTTAAATTCAAAACAACCCATCACCCTTTTTGGAGCAGAGTCTTCCTCTCTTCCCCTACCATGGAAGATCCAAATCCAAATACAGGGAAAAAGGAAGCCAATGGAATTTCTGAATTAAGGGCATGTTTAAAATTGCATCTTTACATACATCATCGTTGTTATCTTTTGAAAGCTTACTTTGCAGAGTGATGAAATCGGATGGAAAAGGCCAACTTCGTTGCAGGCAAGTAGCAACGGATTGGAAATGCTACAAAAATTCCTTCATCGCCGCGTTTCTTTTGTATTTTCTTTCTTTCCCTTTCTTTCCCTTTCTTTCTATTTTCTAGGAGACAAGGGCACAAGGCAGCAGTGAAACAAACGCAACGACGAATGATGTGGATGAAATGGATTATACGATAAAATAACATTTAGTCCTTACACTTTATAAATTATTTTAAGTTGATTCCTAAATTGTTTTTTATATCCTTAATTTTCAAAAGCTAAATTTTATAATTATTTTTATTTCTGTCAAAAAAATACTATCTTATTATTTGAAAATAATAAGCCCAAACAGTTTGAATTCTGATTTTATGGTCCTTCCCATAGAAAGGAGGGGATACATATTGATAATATCTTTGAAGGAAAGAAAAATATGAATATGTAAAGAAATAAAATAAAATAAAATAAATGGATTTTTTAACATTCAAATCAATTGAAAAAGTGTTTGAGGTTTTGACGTCAAAGATCAGTTAATTTGACGTTTCTATTTTTTTCATTTATTGGAATGGAAATGAAAATAGAAAAATATTTTTTTGGTAGAATTATAATAACTTATTTACAAGATTGGTTCAATTTGATCCACATCCACATCCAAAAACAAAAATTTCTTTACATAATTTAAAATGATAAGATAATATTTGTTTAAATATTTTCTTAGTATATTGGCAACACTCACATATTATACAAACGTAACTACTCAAACTCAGAACCTCTAGAATGAATAACACCCCTTTTATCATTGAGGCCTCTCAACAGATTCACAAATATAATTACTCAATTGATCTAAATAAAATTGTTTAAAAAATCCTATTAACATTATCTTTTTTATTTTAACATTGGTCAGTAAAATAAAACATTAATTGTAATAATAATAATGATTTGATACAAAAAAACAATGGTCAAAATAAAAATATATAATAAATCAATGACTATGATATAATTTACCTTTATCTTAAATGCGACAAAGCGGGAGGCTTCTAATTTCCTATGACAGCGACCTAATTTGGGAATTGACAGTTTCCCAGTTAATGTTTCTTTCCACCTAAAGCATTAAAATCATATTTTAAACAAGATAAACATGCATCCTTTAGTTTTGATAATTTTTAACTTGGTACCTAAATTGATAAAATATTTTAATAATTAATTTGATCAACGTTTAATGTATATTTTTGTCTTCTTTTAACCTAATAATTTTTTTTATAATTTAATTAATTATTGAAACACTATATCAACACAAAAAAAAAAAATCTTTTAAACAGAAAGTGTCAAGATTGAAAACTAGCATATAAATAAACAAAATCAACTCAAATATTAAAATTTTTTAATAAATGTTTTTAAGCTGCTTGAGAATTTAAAAACACACTACAAATAAATAAATAATCTTAATAGAATATAGGTATGGCACTCGTTTGATAAATTAAACCAAACTATTAAATATAGATACCGAGAATATTGCATGAACCGATAAAAGATTAACGCCATTTTGTAATTATTCTGATTTATTTATTAAATATTTTAACGCTAGAACTATAGTTTTGTCCCTTTTTATCCCCCACAGAATCCCAGAAGAACATCTACATTGTACAGACCACATAAACCAAAAACATAAGGTAAAAACAAAGGGGTGAGAACACCGGCAAATGGTTTTTAATCAATTAATGAAACGAAACAACGACCTTTAGCACACTAGCAAATATGTTTATACCTGAGTTCAGACGGCAGGGAAGGAAAAGGATCATCCATTCATCATCTCCCTCATTGAATGAAGCAATTGGCTTTCCCCTAATACGAGAGTTATCATCGCCCACGACAAGGCAAAAGCATATATCATGCTGGTCAGAATATATACATGTAAAAACTATACGAACCAAATTTGTATTCTTGGCTGATGAAATTGCTGGTCTGATCAGAGGAGTTCATGTAGCTTCATTCATCTTGAAAGTGTTTGACGAAGGTTCCTATGAAACTTGCTTTGGAGAACTTAAAACGGAGCTTCGAGGGACTCATCCCATACATCGGCACTTCCATTTGAGGCATCTTCGACATCTTCTTCCATTGAAAGTCTGATATACTCCCTATGTGCAAAACGATCCCACTCGGTCGAAGTTGGGTCCTCCCGTTCCTGCTCATACACACACCAAACAAAAAGAGCAGGCTATTGTCATCCCACAGAACTAAAGTAGCATCGCTTTAGTGCTCAACATTTAATTGAGCAATCACTGACCTGCCGGATGAGGAATGGATCACGGGTTTCGAATGCCATAAACTTGTGAAGATTGAAAAGGATGTTAAAGACATTTCCTGAAAGTTTGCTACCTTTCAAGTCCCGTAGTGTGATACAATCTTCTCTCTGCAAAATTTCAGCAAGCTGAATCATCTTCACAAGCAACAATCAAGTAAAAAAAACAAAATCATTATTAGAAAGAAGGTAGCTTCAACCTCAGGTGAAATCATGTCAATTATTTGACACAATATGTCCTCAAAGAGCACGGGTTCTAGGGCCAAGCATTCCATTCGGTGCAGCTGCTCCTCGTAGAAAAATTGCATTTCATTTGGAGTGAGCACACCATTTCCATCCAAATCTATGCACTTGAACCTATAAAGATAACTAATCAGATGTGGACAGCTAATCTAGTAGACCAGGGAAAAAGGTCTTTGACGATACAAGGCACGAAAGAAATGTCATATATTGTTCTTGCAAACAAATGTTAATTTGATATGATGAACCACAAGGAACTTTGCAGGAGAACCGGAAAACATAAATTAAAACCCTGCGAATGTCAACCTTAGACTAGGGGGAGGGATAAACGAGTGTAATTTATTTTGGGAATGGGAGAATTAAAAACAAATATAAAGATACCAATATTCAAGACTAGGGTCGGATGATTTGTCCTCCTCTGAAAGCATAAAGTAAACGAAGTCTTCATAGCCCATCTTCCCTTCTACCTCACTTGTAAACTTCCGAGGAGTCTGAGAGGGAACTCATGCATTTTAGGATTACGGCCAAAACAACAACATATATAGGAAATGGTTTATATTGTATTTGAAAATAGAGTAATTGATTCAGAAATTTAGATAACTGAGAACCAGGGAAAACTGACCTCTGAAAAAATCCTATCGACAATCCTGTAGGTAAGGGCATGATTGCCATATTTGATGAGGTTTTCCCTGTTGATGAAGAAATCATGGTCTATGTCCAACTCCCAGAACTTACAGTATATAACATAAAAGTGTTCATACGAAAAGTACCTAAAAGATGCATAGTTTACAACATTAGCGAATCAGATGACAACAATTTAATAAACCCAACTCTCCACAATGTTCAATTTGTTAACTTACCATTCAGGAGAGTAAGGGGAAATAATTTCCTTGCTTTTACCAACCAACTAAAAACAGTAAACAGAGATATTACAGTCTCGGTTTTACATAATTACTGTTTGGTGTGCAAGATTTTGAATGTTGCTGCTTTCCATAAAACAAAGCACATATATTGTAAAGAATTCCACCCGGATACTAACCTAAGGACTTTGTTTATGTCCTCTTCCTCATCTGCATGTTGCATGGCAGAAATCAATTCTCCACGTTTGAGCTCCCTGAGGGTAAGACTACCATTTCCCGATCTATTCATGGTATAAAAGATTCTGTATATGACAGTTTCAGCTGAAACATTAACAAAGGAATTTTTTTTGTCCAGTATCAGTTGCGCGGAAATGAATGTCCAATTATTGGAGAAACAAAAATAAAATAAATGAATAAAATCGTCCCCAGTACCCCCTCAACTGTTATAACAAAATCAACTCTTCTAGAGGCATTTTTCATCCTGATCCTGACAATGCAGAGAGAATGGTCCCCTTCCCACCTCCATCTTCTCCCTTAATTTTAAATTACGTGGTAACATTTCCTGAAGCATATATGTTGTTTTGAGAATCAAGAGCGACATTTCCCATCTTTAGATCCCTTTATTGTACAAAAACTACATAGGATCTGTGGTTATTATCCTAGTTACTAAATTGAGAGTTCTATTAACTTTTCACCAGCTAAACATTTCTCAATTGATAACCGCTCTAAATTTATTTCTATCATGAAGTTCAACCGTCCAAGATTCAATTTTTGATGAGATTTCCATAGGAAATTATAAAATTGGCATGAACATATTCAGCCTGCCAGCTAAATTCAGAATGTATGAATTAGCTGCTGTTAAAAAAACATGTTACGAGTGCTTGTCAACCAACCAGGACAAGTCTTAGGATTAGATTTCAATTATATTATTTTGGTCTAAGTCATTCAGGAAATCCATTGACATGGAAACCTCCCAAAATTTAATCGTAATTTCTTCTTCTTCTTTTATGAAAAAGAAAGGTAAGAAGGTTCAAGGAGCATAAAAAAACATTAGACATATGTTGTGTACTATCAAGTATCAACTATGCATACAAGTCCTTGATAAATTAAGAGCATATGATGTTCTCCCGTCAACATCTCCATCCTAGGGACCTAAAGATCGAATCAATCAATGGGATAAACTGCATTCTAGGATATCGTATGTTCAAAAACTAATCTAGATTTGCACGAATAATTTCAAAAAAGAAAACACATGGAAAAAGAAAACATATTCACAACTTGCTAGACATTATTAAAATAACTACAATTAATAAAATGCATACCATATCTATCTTGAAATTCAGGTGTGTTTCGCAAGAATTTTAATCCTGGATGGGTTGCCAAAAGCTCTTGGACAACAGGTTTGAAGTCAATCTGCATCCCATATCCCAAATGATCTTATGAAGAAAAGTGTCAAATATATGAAAATTTAGGCCTTCGAAAGGATGATTTTAACAGAAGAACAAGTGTTAATCAAGACAAATTTTCAAACCAAACGCAAAAGGAAAACCTAAGAGAGGCAGAGTGCAAAACAAACCTGTGTGAGGTGTCTGCAGCCTGGCCGCTTAAGAATTTCAAATATTTGACTTGATATATCCATTGTCAGCATATTTCCATCCACCCAATACTTAATGAAAGCATCTCTGAAACAAAGCGTTTGACTTAATAATGTATGATAGAAACATTTATTGAATGAAAATGCAGTCAATCCCATCTACCAAGTATATTCACCAGACGGTGTTTAAGCAGTCAGAGTTATTCTTCACATAGAACAACTACTTATCTTTATAGATGAATAGCTTGCATACCTGGTCACTAATCCCACACAGTCAATATCTATCTTTCTAAAAAGCGCGGATGAGAGGAAAGATGGTAGATTGCAAACTTCCTTTGTCACTGTTTTAAACTCTGTATAGACAGAAAAAAAAAACATAATTTCATTCAAAAAAAATTTTGGGTGGGAAAAGGGGGGGGGGGAAACCTTAACAACTGGAAGATAATTTGCAAAGGGGAGAATACAACTTAAAATATAAACGAACATATAAAGATCAATTATATATCTCACCATTTATTTTCAATCCATTTAGAGGATTATCGAAAAGGTGATTAATTTTAGAAATATATTGTTCTTTCAATTCCTTTGTAGGAGGATAACCATTTTGGAAGTAAAACTGCAAGCAATTATCAGACAAACTTTGTAAGTACTTTTTAGCAATTTTTGGTGGTAAAAACTCAAAACCACAAATGCAAGAAAGCTTTAAATATAACAATATCCGGAAGAGGACTTCCAATAGCAAGCAAACCTGTGGAATTACTTGTTTCATTGGTTCACTAACTAATTTCAATGGAGAGCCAAGAGCTGAAGGGCTGGATTTCTGCCTTGATGAGCGAGGAGAACCAGATGAGCTTCTTGGAGAAAGTGGAGGTGCACTGACACTGGAAAACATGGAAGGCAATGAATTGCTCCCAACAGCATTTGCATTAGAAAAGTTTGCACAGGCATTTACGGCAGCCCCAGTCTTTGCATCATCAATCAAAGATTTCACCTGTTCTCAAGAAATGAAGGCTCATTGCATGACAAAAATATCCATATATTGATAGAGGCAAATTGCTAGCAAAGGAAACACCGGCAAACAGAAAAGAAAATGACCCAACTGCAGAAAAGATTCTCACATGTCACAGTTCCCCACTGTATCAAATTCAGCCATTAAGGGAAGTCAAAATTATTCCTATCATAGCCATTTAAATAATAATAATAATAAAATCTCAAAATCTTTCAAAATTCTACCATAAATTTATAGGTAACACGATGTGTCTGTAGAATTGTAATCCATTAACAAGAACTTATGACATTAACATGACTCAAATGAAGTATTTGCAATTACTACCATAAACTACTACCAAATAAGTTACTCTATGACTATTGAGTCAAAATGTCAGAGGTGCTTGCGCCAGGTTGCAATAAATTACAAGAGTTAACAATATTAGACGTTATATACAACCTAAAGTTGAAAACAAAATCTAACATGTACAAATTATTGGAAAAACATATAAAGACAAATCAATAGTAACAACAGTTTAATTTTATTTAATTAAGTACCAGATTGTCGCTCTCTGGAAGCGAAAGCCATTGAGAGAACAAATCCTCGACAAGTTGAGGACTGGTTTTTAGTGCAAATGTAGACACTTCAGGAAGCTGCAAAAGCTCGGGGTCCAAACAGGTAACATCCTCCGCTGTATCAATCTCCATTTTTAAAGATAAAGACATCTCGCCTACCTTATCAACCACTCTAAAACCCTAACTCTTTCAATTCTTCAAACTCACCAGCCAAAAGAAACCAACGCCACTTCACTTCCAAGAATTTTCTAACTGACAAAAAGCGCTTCTAAAACCTAGGTGACTTGACGAAACTGTAGAAAAATAATAATAATTACAAAACTTCACTCCGATTGTTATGGAAAAAAGGACTACACGATCTTTTTTTCTCACCGGAAGTAGAAATTCACCGCTTAAACCACTCCGTTCACCGAAACCCTAACTCGTCAAGTTATAAAGTGAAACACCAAATTCTTCGAAATTCAACCCGTTTTGCCATGAAAACAAAACTTAGAAAATCACTTCCCTCGAACAGTTTTTGTTCGATAAAAATGATGATAATTAATACTAATAATAAAGGAAGAAGTGAAAAAAGGATTATTATTATCGGACTTTTCTTACAGCAAGAAAGAGAAAAGAAACCGCTGGGTAGGGATGGCAACAAGTCAGGTTCGGACAGGATATTGGTCACCGTCTCTGTTTAAAAAATTTGTAATCGTTCTCATTTAAAAAATTACAGGAATTTAAATGGAGATCTCCATCGGATAATCGGGGAAAATCGTGAGGAAACGAATATCTTCATTTAGCATAAATGATTTTTTAAACGGGTATCGGGCCGGATATCATGCCTGGATATATATATTTAAATTAAATATATAAATATTATATATATTTTAAATTTAAATTAAATTTATTAATATTATATATATATAATAATTATTTTTAATATTTATCGGGCCGGGTATCGGGTCGGGTAATCGGGCGGGGATTATCGTCTCCGTCCCCGTTTAGCATAAACGGTTTTACCCATCCTATCCCCATTTAGCATAAACGAATTTTCTCTATCCTCATTTAATTCGATTTTCGATTTTCTCCATTGGATTCGAATTTTTTTTACCATCCCTACCGTTGGGTTCGGAGGGGAGGAAAAGGAGAGGAAACATAAAAAGGAAACAACGAAGCGCGTGGAGCGTTCAGTGTTTTTGAAGCATATATATATATATATATATACACATACATAAGATACATCCATTTATACTGTCTACTTGAGTTAATCATTGGTCATCTCATCAGTACTTATCCGTTTGGCTAATGGAAATTATTTAATATTGTTTTGAACGATGCTTAGCTGTTGGATTTCCTTCTTGCCCAACTACGGCCATTCGTGTCTTGGGCTCTCTAGTCTAGTGTTTCACAATGTAGACGACATGAATAATATATAAGTTTATTACCAAATGGTGTTCCAAAGGCAATTTTCTCAATAAATCACCGGTGATCGGTATATTTATTTATTTAATACCGATTAGATTATATTTCTCGATCTAACATCCGTAGCAGTAAAGTATGCCCCTTGAACCGCGTTATACACTGATTTGGCGTCACGTGGGTATAGCGCCCCCCTGCCCTCGATATACGGTGATTTGATGCCACGTGGGTATAGCGCCCCCTGATCCGCGCTATACCTGGGTATCTGACATGTGGGGTATAGCGCAGTGCAGGGGGTGCGCTATACCCCTAAATACCAATCCCTTCACGTCCTCATCATCCCTATAAATACCCCCATCCTCAATCATTTTTATCATACCAAATTCTCTCAAATTCTCTAAATTTCTCTCAAATATTCTATCTTTTTAAGGTATATTTTATAATATTTTTACTATTATGTATTTACTTTATTTAATATTTTACTAATATAATCTGTTGCATATATATAATGGAAGACAGTCTATTTCGCTCGGATGGAAATCATATATCTCTACACTTTGCTGATATGGTAACATTTTAACGTTTTAATTTAATTTAAATTATTAGTAATATTTAGTTGATTTATTTAATGCATGATTATTAGATTAAGAATTAAATATCTCGACACTTTGCTGATACGATAACATTTTAACGTTTTAATTTAATTTAAATTATTAGTAATAATTAGTTGATTTATTTAATGCATGATTATTTAATTAAGAATTAAATATCTCGACACTTTGCTGATACTGTAACATTTTAACGTTTTAATTTAATTTAAATTATTAGTAATAATTAGTTGATTTATTTAATGCATGATTATTAGAGTAAGAATTAATTTTTGTAATTATTTCTTTTTAGGAGAAGGACCATGTATTAGATCCTTTTATTAGGAATCTTAAGTTAGTGATACACAGCCGTGTCTTGCCGTATTTAGTAGAGGCTGGATTCGGTTACATAGGTAGATATCAGGGTCACTGTAAGATAGAGCCAGACCTGATTTCTACCTTAGTAAAACAGTGAAGGTTGGAGACCCACACATTCCATCTTTCGTGCGGAGAGTGCACGATCACGCTGGAGGATGTTTCTATGCACCTAGGGCTTCCGGTGGATGGAGATGTGATATCGGGGATAACTTCCAGTTCTTGGACTACTTTGTGCAGGGATAGTCTAAGACGTGTCCCGGAAAATTTTATCGGAGGTAGGATACCGTTAAATTGGTTATATGCCAATTTTCGGGAGTTGAGCGCAAACGCCACTGAGGATGAGGTTAAAATGTATGCACGGGCATGCATACTGCAGTTAATAGGAGGGTTGCTGATGCAGACAAATCGCGCAACCTAGTTCACTGCATGTGGTTGCGACATCTTAGCGACTTTCGTCTCGCCGGATCATTCAATTGGGGTTCGACAGCTTTGGCTTTGCTGTACAGGGAGATGTGTGGAGCCAATGACTACAGACGTAATGCTATCGGCGGATGTCTCCTGCTGCTGCAGTCTTGGGCATGGTATCGATTGCCCTTTTATGTCATGTTATGAAGAACTCATTCGTATTTCCACTACTTCTGAGGTAATTATAAAACTGATTTTGTATATTAATAATTTTATATAGCGTATAATAAATTTTTTTCCTTGAATAGGTGGTCTACTAATAGGAAAAATCATCAGGAGCTACCTGATGATTTAGAAAAAATTAGGGTACTAATCGATTAGAAGGCTGACACACAGGTATGAATTTTAAGGTTTAAAAATCGATTTTAGATTAGAGTTATATAATTAGATTATTATTTTGATAAAAAATATATATGATTTGTTTTAGTTTGAACGGGTGTCATATTCTACTGATGATGTGAGGGCGGTGATCCCACCTGAGTTGAGGGGTCCATCAGATGTTTGGATGGCGATGGTCCCTCTGATATGTTATGCGACCGTCGAGTGGCACTCCACTGATCGCGTGCTCCGGCAGTTTGGTTGTTTTCAACCAATTCCGGAAGCACCTCGCAATATGGACGGGTTGCATAGCTTAGATAGACGCGGTAAGACAGATACAGATTGGCTGGTGAGGCATCATGAGTGGGTCGTGTTGTGGGAGGATCGACATCGGCGCCTTCCACGTAGAGAGCTCATTTTTACTGACTTGTTGATGTATGTTGAGGATTATTATGAGTGGTTCAACAGCAACGGGAAATCGTTTCTACTTCCTGAGGATGCACGAGGGCAGACCTTTCCACGATGTCGACAGAGACGTTCACCGACACAACACCATCGTCCCCCGACTCGTGGACGGAGAGCAGAACCAGTGATACAAAGAAATCCTCCTCGAGACCGACAGCCACCGCCCTCCGGAACACATTACCGACGCAGGCATCGATATTTTTTTTTATTATATTTGTATTTACTTTATTTTGTTTAATTGTAATTTTTTATTATTTCTCATTTAATACTTACTTTATTTTGTTAAATTTGTTGGATTTTTTTTAAATATATTTCAGTTAATTTTGTTTATTACTATTTAATATCAGTTATTGTAATTTGGTTATCATTTACCATTTAATTCTTATTGTAAGTTTGTTGTATTTAAATACCAAATTGTTATTAGTTTGATAAAATTTAATGATTGTGTTCGTTTTTTTAATCTTCATCAGCGATTATCGAATGACATTAACTTGAAGTAAATGCAAATTAAAATACAAGAATTATTATTTGATAAACAAATACATCATTTCCTCATCAATTGTTACTTGATGACAACAGAAGTGGACAAGTTTTTCTAGTGTGTCCTGGGTTTCTACAATGGCCACATCTTCTGTCTTGTCTAGATCTTTCTCGAATATCCATATCGCAATGAATTCGATTGGATTTTGGACGACCACGCTCCCTCAATAAACTCGGATTTGGTACAATCGGATGCCAATCTTGAACCTCATCAGGGTCTTTGTCATTACCTATGGGGGGAAACTCAAATTCGTATACATTAAAAACTTCAAATAATAGGTATACGGGATCCGCAAAATGGTTATAGTCTTGACGTGTATGCGAGCAAGCTGCTATCACATGAGAGCATGGATACTTCAGAGATTGAAAAAACCCGCAGTCGCACGTTCTGTCCCTTAGATTTACTCTTAACGACACAGTTTCAATCCCTTGAAGAGGTCGCGGCAACTCTGTGACACGAAACATTTCATGCCTTCTTGAGAAGCTTGTTACAGACATTCCATTTGATGCATCAATTTTTTTCTGTAGATCTGCAACTAATCTAGGGTGATAGACATGACCGCCTTGCATCCAGGTTTGAGCTTGTCCCCTGAGCTTCGCAAAAAACGCCCCCAAACGAAAATATGTAGTTTTTACCAAAGCCGCTACAGGTAAGTGACGTGCACCCTTTAAGGTTAAATTGATTGCCTCAGCCAAGTTGGTCGTCATGTGTACATATCGATATCCACCATCATATGTGTTCATCTACATTTCTTTATCGATGAGGCTGATGTAATTGTATCCTTCATCGTTCTTCGTTCGCAAATCTTGAAGCATTGATTCAAACGTTCGAGGAAGTAGTTCGTAACCTGATCAAAAAATGTATAACTTACTAACTTGCTTTCTTTGCAAAATTAAAATGATCAAAAAATGTATAACTTACTAACTTGCTTTCACTTACCCATGCGCACAATTAATTGACACTCATCATTCTTCTTGTACCGTTCATGATAGTTCGCAGCAATGTGTCGGAGACAATACCTATATTGGACAAAGGGTAGTTGCCACATTGGACCCAAAGACTCCATTACTGCTTTGATCTCAGCTCCGCGATCTTAAATGACATAGATTTTTTCCATCGTGATAACATGTGCATGTAAATTTCGGAGGAAAAAAGCCCAAGAATCTGTATCTTCTCCTTCAACAAGAGCAAAAGCAACTGGAAGAATGTTGCGATTGTCATCTTGGACAACTTCCAATAATAAAACTTGCTTGTATTTTCCATACAAGAAAGTCTCGTCGATCTGGACCACAGGCTTGCAGTATTTTGCAGCATTAACGCACTGTGGGTAACTCCAAAAAACCCGGTAGAATTGGCATCGATCGCGAAGAACTCGATCATTATGGTATGCATAGGAGGTTTCGAAGTCCACAATTATCCCAGGATTCAACGTCCGCACCAGCCTAAACCAACCTGGAAGTTCGTTGTAAGATGCATCCCATTCGCCATGAAATTTGACAATGACGTTTTGTTTTGCCAACCAAGCTTTTTTTATAGGAGACGGTGTACCCATACTGTGATTGTATAGCTGAAATCAACACTGCAACAGCTATATGAGAGCTTGCTTTTACCATGGGCATGATGGCTTGGCATATCACTTCAGAGTCCAAGTTGGGATGATCTTGGTTGACCCTTCCAGCACAACATGTGTGATGACCGTTGTATACTGTTAGTTCCCATATGTTGTTTTTCCTCTTCATTTTCGATACGCGAACCATCCAATTGCATCTGTTTTTGCGTCGGGCACAGTAACATACATATTTTTTGGTCGTCGATCGGTTGACTCTGGACTGAACAGAATTACTGATATTGTAATTTTTGATAGCCATCATCGTTTCTTCTTTGCTTGAAAACTCCATACCTAAAGAGAACTCACCATTATTTATTGATGAGTAATATTCATAGTCACCGAGATGAGGCATATCTGCAAATTCTGGCCCGTACATTGCACCATGATCAGCTTCATACATATGTGCAGGAGTGTCAGTTTGTGCCACATTTTCTGGAGCTTCATCATCATCGGAGTTGAATTGCGGTGATTCTGGGTGAATGAATAGTCTAGTCTCAGCACCATCCGCACCAGGCTCACGAAGTGGTTCTTCTGGTGGAGATGATGGTTCATCCATGCTCTACACATTTAGGTAGAAGAACCTACTACTACTCGCACGTCTTCCCCTTGAACTAGAAGGCATATCGACATTGAGATCGAAAAAGCTCGCAGTCGAATGCCTCCCCCTGGAGCTTGAAGTCATCGTGTCAAATGGAAACTGCACAGATGGTTGCGTCGATGGCATCTCCATATGGTCAAAGAAATTTGCAGATGAATGCATTCCCCTTGAACTGGACGCGGTGTTACCATACGGATTGTTCGTGGACCCACCTCGGTACATATCGTAAGGAGTTGCGGATGAATGTCTCCCCATTACGACATTAAAATCATTACACATTACTGTAGTCGGGCTGTCAACTTGATCAACTTGTTCAGCCAGCCCATAGTGTGAGCTTAAAGATTGACCCCGAACAACACGCACTTGAACAAAATGTGCATACATCTCAATAATGGCGTCTGAATAATTACTTTGAGCTTCAACCATCATTTGAACATCATCATTGTTCGAAAGTCCGAACGCTGTATAAGTTAATGGCAACAATGATGTTGGAAATCTGAACTGCAACGACGACATTCTTCTGTTACTTCCAACATGAATCTTCCTCGAAATCTTCGTTATCAGCTCCTCAAGAGTTATGTTTATCTTTAATGATATTTTAACATGCTCATTTGATACGAATACAACGCTGGTTTCATCTTCTCGAATTTCACCATCATAATAAACAATAGCTGAAAGTCGCGCCATTATTTGAGTTTAAAAGTGCGGCAATATTATATCTGTAAAAAAAATAACTTAAACAAACCTGATTAAATAAATTATATATGAACGAAAATATAACACAAATTTTTTTTACACATCAACGTAAATAATTTAAATAATATAATTTTATATTATTACCTGCCCCGCAAAACTATTTCGACGTATGCTCCCGCTTTTCAATTTTACAAACATAAAAATTAATTAAAAATAATTAGTATAATATTTTTTCAAATAATGATAATAAACAATAAGTATAATTAAAAAATTATAACAAAATTACCTTATAACGAAAAATCGCACGAACTTCTAAATCAAATATAAGAATATTACCAGAATTATTACTCGTTGACGGAATTGTTGTATTAATTTATAAGAGATGAGAGATGCAAGGAGATGTGAGGAGAGATGCGAGAATGAGAGGTATTTATAAATATATAAGGCGCGGTACCGACACCGCGTTATATGTAATTATCATATAGCGCGGATCAAAGACCGCGTTAAATATAATTTTGGTATGGCGTATAGCACGGCTACTGATTCGCGCTATAACCCTACGTGGCGTATAGCGCGGAGTAGGGAGAGCGCTATACCCCACGTGTAACTCAGTTAGCATATAACGCGGTACAGGGGACGCTATACTCCACGTGACGCCAAATCAACATATAGCGCGATTCATGGGGCGCACTTTACTGTTACAGGTGTTAGATCAGGAAATATAATCTAACCGATGTTAGATTGATATATATACCGATCACCGGTGATTTTTGAAAAAAATCACCTGTTCCAAACACAAGCCTCGATTGTTGCTTACTGAAATTGAACCATGGATTACAAAAGTTGGGTTGCTTTTAAGCAAATTAAAATGAACATCGAACTAAAGCCGAAAAGATAATTAATCTAGTAATTTGATTTGACATTTTCACAAATAAAATTTTTGAAAGATGTTGATCGAAATAAGATGTCTATAACCGATATCGAAAGTTCTTGAAAACATCGGCTTACAACTGATAAACTGCTCCATCATTTCCTTATCGAGAGGAGCTCAAAACTTCGAAGAGGGTGAGGGTGATCATCACGGCTACCTCTAACAGCAGCAGCACGACTGGATGTTTTGGACTCAAAGGCAAGTTGGACTCTTTGTGCGGTAGACAAGCGACCGCCACTTGATACTTGCCGGTTTTGCGAGATGTCATTGTGTTCACCGGACGAACTAGGCCTGCTTGCTACTACAGGTTTCCTTGAAGTGCTACCATACCGAGAAGAGCTGCGTCTTTTTTCTGAATCTGGGTGCTGAAAATAGCAGACCGGAGATTAAGGTGTCGGAAACAAGAAATTGTTGTTATTAATGTCAGTTAATCATATATTGCACTGAAACAGCAGTCAAGGCATAGGCTAAGTAAAAGAAAAATCCTACTGGAAATTAAAACTCACCACATGCTTTGACAATGTTGCACCCTCTGCAGTCTTGTGTCTAGAATGATCACGACGGGGGCTAGTACTCGAAACATTTCTATTGGAAAATGCTTCAACGGCACCGGAGAATCTATCCCGAATTTCTCTTCCCACTGAATGTTGTTATCAAGGGGAATAACTCATAAGGGATTCCGAAAAATGAATGCATAGAAGCTTGTTTAACAACATAATAGTTAAAACATGACCATCTTGTAAACCAAATAGTTCAGTATCAAATAGTTGAGTTCCACAAGAAAGGTAAATGATTATACGAATTAACGAGAAATCTAGTCTTTTAGAACAAAGCAAACCTGAGATTCTTTCTGGTTTTTCAATGGCTACTCCTGCAGTTAAACCTGCTCTTCCACTGGAGTGCTGAGAAACAGATGGAAAATCTGAATAATATTCTTGAGACGACGGTAACTGATCGCAAGAAGTTTATAAGCACTTACCCGCCCTTTGGAGCTGCCACCAATATGTGGGTATTTCAACAAGGTCCAGTCAAAAACATAGTCAAATTGATAACCTGCAGCAATATGAGTTTTTTAACCGACTAAAGAGGGGGAAATTCGAACTTCACACTCCATGAAGGAGAACAACAACACTGGCTACATAGCAACAATGATGATTAATAACCTTCTCTTATAAACAAGTCTCGGAAAAGCCTCTTCAAATAGGAATAATCTGGTTTATCTTCAAACCGCAAAGAACGGCAGTAGTGAAAATACGATACAAACTCAGATGGATATGACTTACAGAGCACCTGTTAAACATGAGCACACCAATGTTACTCAACAACAATTAAAGAAGAAGAATCATAAGATGGATTAACACTGAAATCTTGGGACCACATGAGTACCATAACTTAGCTTTAATATACGTATTCCCTTCATCGAATTTATACCTTAAACGTTCCGTTCACTAGTTAAGCCAAAATAAACTTCACCATAATGAAAATCAAATAATTTAATTCTCTGCCTTTTACATATTAATCTTATCTCAAAAGAATAGGAATCTCAAAAATATTTATCAAAACTGTTTACAGCACTAGCAATTCCTACACCCGGTTAGTAACTCAATCGAATTTCTCAAAGTAAACCAATTTGTGTAAGTAAACACACCTCTACAGGAGTTGAAACTTTCTTTTCGCTAATCTTATCATATTTTTGCTTTTTCGTGCCAGCTCTTAGCCCCTGCCAAGGAAGACTGAAGCAAAGAAATGGAGCAAACTGAATTAAAATCAAAATCAATGTGAAGGAAAACTAAGAATGAAGATTCAGTAACAAGAAAAAATCAAACATTATTCATCGGAAATGCATAAAAGTCTGAATGAAATCAGCATGGGAAGATCATATAAACAACCTTCCTCTAAGGAAATACATAAGCACATAACCAAGGGATTCCAAATCATCTCTGCGACTTTGCTCTGCCGATGAAAGAGAAGATTGTATTAATAAAAAGAGAGAAGGAAACTTGCATCTATTATATATGATTCAATGTTACTAGTTGTGTCACAAAAGTAACATGACTCACCAATTCCAAGGTGAGTGTTCACACTTGCATAACGAGCAGTGCCTGTAAGGTTTTTGTTTTCTCTGCAGCAAAGAATTTGATGAGTTGTTTCACAGACAAATGCATTTGGTACAAGGTTGAACCATATACTCAGTATACCTTTACCGAGTATGAACATAATACAAAGGAGGTAATTTGGCAAAGAAAGAAAACTGAGCGAACAAGAGAGTGAGAATTGATGCAACTAAGCATACATGTATAGATGGAAGATGAGTAAATTTGACTGGCAATTTGCAATCTATAACCGGTTAAGAGTCGAGAGTATATGAACCAACTCCATGGTCAAATCCACTGAAAACAAAGGAGATCTTTCTGACTTTATCTGTGTCAAAGTCAATTCCATTAAGTCAGACTGATCTCACTCCAAAGAGGCATGCATGGTTAAATGGCTAACAAAATGCCATCCAAAGAAAAAAAATAGAACATGATGTGGGAATTGCCACAAGTGTTAGAGTTTTCTTTATTCACAAGGGCTCAGAAGGCTGATAAAACTTTCACTAGGATCTTCCTTGAAATGTACAACATGCTAAGGCAATATAACATGTTGCAACCACAAGAAAAGCAAAAACCCAGCAGACAAAATGTAGATAGATAAAGAAGTAACACTCTTATCTAGTATCTTAACTCAATAGTCATGCATGATGATGAAAACTATACAATCTTGAGATCTTTAACTTTGAATTTTAGTATTAACAAGTCAACAAAAAGATAATCACCTATATGGGATGTGCTTATGAGTTTGAAGATCCCTATACTTCTTCGCAAGACCATAGTCAATGATATAGACCTGTAATAACAAAAATGAAAAATTAATACCATAATATTTATACTTTTCAAGTATAACAAAGTCCAATACCTAGACATGAAATAACATTTTATCGTAACCAGATTTTCAAAATTGAAGGTGGCTGTGCCAGCAATGTAATATATGTTATATCTGCCAACATTATATACAAGAAAAGACAATAATTTTAAATACCTGATTAGCCTTGCGTCCTAGGCCCATCAAGAAGTTGTCAGGCTTTATATCACGATGAAGAAACCCCCTTGAATGCATATATTCTACTCTATTAATCTGAAAAAATAAATAAATAAACAAAGTTAAACAGGGAGAATATAAATATGATAAAACTCAAATTCATTTGTCAGAAAAGCCTTATACTTACTAGTTGATCAGCAAGCATCAGCACCGTCTTTAATGAAAGTTTCCTGTTGCAGTAGTTGAACAAATCTTCCAAACTAGGTCCAAGAAGGTCAATTACCATGACATTGTAATCAGCCTCAATTCCGAACCACTTGAGGTGGGGAATACCCGCTGTATCAATGAGAACCCTTACTAAGTTAAAGATTTATCCAAGAAACAACTAGCAACATAATCTTGAGATAAAACATATCCTGCTGGCATGTTCCCAAAAAATAGTTTGTAGCTGGTAGTGCCGAAAATCATGTACAGGAAAGAAGACCGTAGTCGAGTTATGTAGGACCAAATCATTTTTTGAAGGGGGAGGGGGGGCACAAATAGATGCTTACTTCCTCCTTGAAGAAGCATATACAATTTTGACTCATAATGAAGCTGTGGATGCTTGGTCTTTGCAGATTCCTGAAAATAGGAAGAGAAAGAAAAAGGTCAAGGTGGCAAACAAATGGCAAAAGATTAGGTAACTACAGAATGGAAATACACCTAGCAATCAGCATAAACATGCGGTTTCAATTTCTCATTTGTGTAGAAACATTTTTCTTCTCAGAATGGAAATGGTCGCAATAACAAATGTACTTTCCCTTTATACTTAAATGATGAACAATATAAATCTTAACAAGGCTAGATAAGGAAACACTGTCTTGGAAAAAGAACCTTTCTCCATCCAAATGAACAGGTGCGTTAGTAAAAACCACTTTTCCTTTTTAGAACAAAAGCAACCACTAAACTAAAGAACATACTACTGATCATTTTTCAGCCAATGTCCAAGATTTTATGCAATTTAAAGTCCAAAGGTTAGTTCTTTTGGTTTTTAGAGACGATGGATTACAAAGCAAGGATAAGAAAAACTAAAGATTGACTTATTTATGGGTATTCAGGGATCCATAATCATCATTATAAATACCAGAACTAGAAATAAGTCCATAAGCGGACCAACATAAAACACAACCAAAAACACATCCTTGAGAAAATATCACCATACCAGCTTGACAGCAACTTCCTCTTTAGTTTGCACGTTTACACCTTCAACAAAAACCCCCATAAAAATCAGGAAACAGAAAAGGGCAGAAGCTGACAAAGGAATTGAAGAAAAATAACACATTTTCCTTTAATATGATAGAGAAGAAAGCCATCAAAGAGAACTTTGGAATATTATACCTAAATAGAGCTCTCCAAAAGACCCACTGCCAATCTTTCTTCCTAGCTTGAACTTACCACCAATCACATTATCCATTCTCAAAGGGAAGGAGACAATCTTCAATAACACCCTAAATAGCTTAATCTAAGCTAACTTCACTTAGATAATCTAAATACTCCCTCAAAGCTCAAGTGATTTAACAAACTGACATCTCCAAGTCTCTAATAGATCCAGACAAAAAAAAGAAAGCAAAGATTTTGACCAAATAAGAAAAAATAAATCTTTGGGAAAAATAAAGCTAAAAATCAAAGGAGAAATTGGAGATTCACATCCGGCTTTACCAACTACACAGTTTGATTTTCGAAAGAAAATCCCCAAAATCTGAAACGGAAAGCGGAATTAAGGAGAAAAATGCAGCTACATTGACTTGAGGGTTCAGCTGGCAAATCCAAATGCCCAACTGTAATCAAATAATAAAAAAATAACGGTTGAATAATCAGAAATTGCCGGAAATAATAAATCAGATGAAGTTTCTGGGTTGAAATTAAAAAAAAATACAGTAAAGAAATTTCTCAGGTGTTTGTTAACGATGAAAATGAAGGAAATAAATAGAAGATTTGACAATATGGAAGGGAAAAGAGACAAAGTAACAGTAGCAGATTATAATATATTTGTTTCATAAAATAAAATTATAATAGGGTAAAATACATTCAAGGCCACTAAACTATGTTCAAATAAGTTTTTAGTCAATAAATTTTTTAAAGTTACAAAATGATATCAATTTTATCAATTTATTATAAAATAATTAATATAATTTTATTATAAGTATAAAATTTTATTAATTTAATGAAAAAATTATAAAATTTTTCTAAATTGAACGAATTATTCATAATTTTTGAAAATTCAGTGATTAAAATTATTATTTTATCATTTTTAATGACCTATGATGTGCTTTACCCATTATAATATTGAAAGTGATCTGTCTGTTTCTGACCTTTCTTCCCACTTCTCCCTTTTCCACTTTCATTTTTCTTTTATTTTTTATTATTAACTACCACATTTTATGTGTATTTAAAATTATTATTATTGTTTTAGTCTGTTTATTACAATATTGAAATTCAAATGATAATATACTGTCGCTGTTGTCAGAATAATGAAATCTATTAAAATTGTTATCAATTAATAATTAATGATGTTAATATTTTAATTATATTATTTAACAATGTTTTAATAACATTATAAAAATAGAAAGATCAATTATAATAAATTGAAATAAATGATTTAATATCAAATAATAACATAAAAAAGTATGATTAATATTTGTATTTAAAAAGTGTGATTAAGATTAATTAAAATAATGTTCTTCTGCACAATTAAAATTAACTATTATTTTATATTATTACATTATTTTTATTAAATTTAATAAAAATAATATTTTATTTTTAATAAAATGATAGGATTAACCAATCATTCCTCTAATTACATTATTAAAAATTTAATTTTTATCCATAAAAATAAAAAATATTTATATCTTGACGATTTTTAAATTTAAATATAATTTTTATATATTCGAAAAAAATTCAAACTCAATCTAAATAAGACAAAAAAGAGATATTTAGCAAATTAAGAATGATGAGAAAGAGCACAGCTCAGTTAGATGTGTAAGGGACGGACTTATAATTTGATCTTAGAAAACAAACTTTTTTTTAATTTTAAGATACGATAAATTTATAAAATTTCATATGACAAAACATATTTTTAAATAAAAAATTAAAATATATAGTAATTTATATTTTTAGGGGACGATTGTCTTTATCTGTCCTAATCGGTCGATCCATGGATAGGATCATCATGCTATAAATCAAATATTAAACGCCTCATTGATAAAAATGATGTTATTACAATATTTGTAAATGTCTGTATATATCAATTGTTAATAAATATTTTTTTATTAATTTGGGTAAATACAAAGTAGTATCTATTTAAAGATAACTCTTAAATATTTGACATTGGACGTTCACACTCCTAGCATACATGATGTACGAACTCAGGGCTTCAAAGAATAACAACAATTTATTTATCACCGAAGTCGTTTCATTTTTACTTAATAAATATTTTAAACAATATTTTTTTAATAATCTAAAAAATTTAAATTTAAAATTCCAAAGTCTTATAACTAGTAAAATTATAGTTTTAATTATATTATGGCCCAAAAAATTGAAACATGTACATGTGAACACATTATTGGATCATACAAAGCAGTTTGGCGGTGATCAACAATGATCAATATCTAAGTAAACAGAGATTCCCAATTTGTCTAAAGCCAAAGTCCAATAATATATTGCATTTACCTCAAGTTTTTAACTGCGACAAAAATGATTAATAAATAAACAACAATTCCTCACCCTCAATATTTTATGACTACAGTTAATAATTTGTTACCTTAACGATGCACGAGTTAATCATATGTATAATTTTTTATTTTTTATTTATATACTTTTTAACAAATTACATGATCTTTAACTTTTGACTGGTACAGTCTTGTGTCGGAAAAGCCAAGATTTAAAGGCAAAGCGGATGTTTTTTTCCCCTTCTGCAGGTAATATATATTTCATCGTCTTGTGCCTTTCAATTCCTCACATTTCACTATCACATCCCTATAACTGGACCGACTTCCAGAGAATCCTAAGCTGAAAAAAGAAAGCCACAAATTTGATGCTATATAATATCAAGCTTTACTGCAAAATTTTGAGTTTTTTCAACTTTATATTTTAATTATATATTTAAAGTGATGATGTGATGTGTAATACATCAGTTAGATGATTATATCATATTTATTTCATTAGTAAACATATAACAAACAGATTAAGAGACAAGAAAAAACACCAAAAGAATCCCAACAAATTTACAAAGCTCATTAGTGATAACAAGCATCATCCAGTGAGAAATATTTAATGTAGAAAGCATAATTAACAGAAATCCGCCGGCCTAATTGTAGACGAGAATCTGATGAATAAAATATCCATCCTTAAACCTCAAGAAAGCTATCTAGAGGAATGGGATGTCCAAGCCGAAGCAGTGAACAAGCTAATATCTTTCCAGCCGAGCCTAAGTGTGCCATCTCCTTGTACCAGCCTATAGCCATGAGCCGGAGGGTAGATGTTCAATATCAGCTGTGCCTGCGCCATCGAGTTGCTGCTCATCGGCACCTGCATGAAGCAATTCCTCGCTGCAAGCTCTCTTCTCCATTGCTTCAACTTGTCTTCCCCACTTCTCGCCGGGCCTCCTATCGCCAATATGTTGTTGATTTCCCTATACAATAGGCAATGCTCGATGCGATGCCGGTTGGGGTCGTCGGCCGGTAGGTACGCCCCGAGGGAGTCAAACATGGTGGAATAATAATGGAGAGACGCCACGAACCGGTCTAAGAATAATCCACCGTGGGACAGGTCTTGCTCCACTAATGTGATAACTCTCGGAGCCAATTGCTCCATTAGTCTCATCGTCTTCCAATCGGGTCCTGTGGCATCATATAGTGAATGTTGTAGCCAGTGAACAGCTAGTGTCTCCCCTCTTCGGTGTTGTACACTCGTAACGTCGATCTCTCCGAACTTCTTTGCGACTGGGTGAAATTCGAACGACATTCCAAGGCGTTTAGCGAAATTCGAGAGTTGTTTTCCTGTCTTCACAAGAAGCTCCATGGAATTGCCAAAGCCGGTCATCGTTACATGCGGAGGCCCTTCCATACGAGTCGCGAGGATATGAAACAAGGCCGGCCATTGCAAACCCTGCATAATGTCGAGGTCTATTATATGAACTCGATCGCGTCCATGAAACGCTTCGAGGATGGCTTGGTTGGAGGTGAAATGAGCGAACTTCATAAAGGGAGAAATATTGTTGAAAGCTTGGAGAGCACAATGAACGCTTTTGAAGTTTATCAATGGAGAGCAAATCCCTAACTACGAATTAATAACCCTACTAGACATGGCCTTAGAGAAATACGCGACAACCCTTTCGGCACAAGAAAGAGCATAAGGAGAAGCCATTTGGGTCATTTCAAGCAACATTCTATGAGCTTCCCCGAGGTTCTCAATGGAGATGGCAACAGCACACTCTAAAAGAAGCATTATCAAGCTGAAACCTCGCTCGTCTAATCTATTATTCCACTGAAGCTCTTCACTGCTAACAGTTTCCCTCGGCCTGAAATCATTGAGAATCAATGGGGCAAAGTTATCCTCTTTTGCCATTAATGTATCAACTGCCTGCAGGCTGCGACGGTGATTGGTTTCTGTATTCTCGGCGGAAAAGTAATCGATGAGTTGCTTGGACTCGGAGAGTTCGTTTCTGTCCGAGTTTATGCAACGAGTTTCGAGAGTGAGTTGCTGCCTCGGAGTGGAGCTGAGAGTGGTGCTTGTGAAATCCCATATGAATTCACAATGGGGCTGGATCATTGTGAAATCCCAATGAACCACTTCGAATCCTCCTTTCATCATTGAAATATGAACCAAATAAAGGGAGGAAATAGAGAGAAAAATGGTGGAGGGTGTTAAGGAAAGGCGAGGAGCATTTTTAAAGGGGAATTTTGGGACAAGGATGACCGAAGAAATGAGCCAAGACTTGAAAGTTTTGGGAATTTGTTTAATGCAACAGCGCGGCCGCCGGCCGGAATAGCCAGGACACAGAGATGAAGCTATGAAGCTAAAAGCCATGCATATGTAATTTTGGTAGTGTTTTTCACCATTATTAACTTCCTTTAGATTTTCAACAAAGTACTTGTCTTTACAAGTATCATAGTTCCAATCTCATCATAGTTTTGTTTATGTAAGTGATTTAAATCATGCGATTAAATGAGTATTCATTAATTCAATAAATATTATAATTCAAATTTCATCAATACATTTTATTTGATAAACAATTTATAAATTCTAATATCAATAACAAGCATTTTTTAATAAAAATATTGAAGGAAATTACTATAAGCAAAATCTTTAACTCATAGTGTTCTTGGTCAATGCTGATTTAGTAAGCCCGTATATAATAATATGACGGTTTATTTAGGGTATTAATCATTAACTAATTTAGAAAGGGTAATAATAATAATGCCTGGTTTGGTTAATGATAATGACACGCGTTAAGACCGACGGGGTGAAAGCAACATCAATAACGACACATCAAGACTGAAGTTATAGAAGAATTATAATTCTCCATAACATATATAGGATTATGTTTAATACTAATATATACATACACATGTTTGATAGGTTATATGATACAGCCATACAGGGTGTTGAAATTATATTTTGATCTTTTCTCTAATTTTAATACAACTACAAGTAAAAATATCAACTGCAAGTGGATTAATTGTATTTAATACTATGAATAACAAGTCATACTTCAAATTCATCTTAAATTTAAAAATATTTCAAGGTAAATTATCTATGTAGTTACTCATCTATCATCGTGTTTCTTCATTTATAGACAGAAAAACATAGAAGATAAATATAAATTGAACTCAAAGCATTTC